CGCGAGCTGTCTCAGCCCGGAGTGACTCGATCTCTGCACAGAATAACGGTATTAGTACCAGAGATGGTGAGACCAGTACATATGTTTCAATCAAGATGTTCTTGTTTTTCAAGATCTTGTCCACAGGCGTCGGTTAACAAAATATTTGTGTACGCATGCTCCAGTGCAGTATGGCTGGACATCACTGGGCTCTCTTCCTTGTTCTTGATCTCTCTTCCTCAGTCCCTGTCACAGATGAATATCTGTCCGACATGTCAACACAGTCTCGAGGGCTCACATGCTGTGCCATCTTGGCATCCCCATTCAATCATTCGGATTTCTCGTTCCGCGAGAAGCATCGAGCGAGAATTCTGGCGTGTAAGTTTGTCTGACATAACAAGCATGAGTCCTGACGAATGATCCCTTCCGTCGGAAGAACATCACTGCAATCAGCCCAAGATCTCAGACTGTCTACGGCGTCGCGGACTGAGGAACAAACTGGTCACATCCGGAACAGCGTTGGGAGAAAAGACTTCTCTCTCTCTGTGGAGACGAGACGAAGCCTCGAGTCGGGCATCTCAAGTCAGGTTTTCGGGCGAAGGAAATTAGGTTGAGTAAGCGGAAGACTATTTCTCACAAGGAGGCATGACAGCCCATGAGCCATGAGCAAGTGTGTCACATCTATTCGTCCAGTTCAAATCGGACCATGAAGGGGCTCCGACAAATCTATTGAGAGCCTCGAACGAGACGACACTCAGCAACACACGATTATTTGCAGCCGCCTGATCTGTGTTTTCTAGCTAACTTAAAACTTTCCAGTGACGCGGTTGCAGTTTCCGAAAATAACACTACGCTGCCGAAAGGACGCTGAATCTCCTTCTCGATCGGCGCACTCCGGCTCGCTACGCATGTCATGCATCTGTCGCGTTGCACAACTGGCTCTGTTTGTCCATGTCACTGACTGAATCGTCTGTTGAACAGCCGCAGGGATCGAAGAGCTATCGTCAAGATCGGCGCACCGAAAAAGCTCGACTTTGAGCCTCAGAACGAGGGAGAAACATTTCCGTGCGTGAACTCACCCTTTCTGGAAAGACTCTATTGTCAAGGGAGTCATGAAACCCGGTGTGAGACTCGGGGTCATGCTGTTTTTGTCTCCCTTCCTCCCGAGCATTGGCGACCGCGGGAGCCGCGGGGTGTGCAGAATCGACGTCACGAATTTCGGCATGATGTTCCTCTTCTAAGCGAATAGACACCTGGAATAGTACGGGAGCAAGCTCAACAACATGAATGAGAATTTCGTAGGCATTTATTGCGCACTCGCTTCGAGCTCGACCGGGCTCCCGCTGTAGACGGAAACGTGGCCTGACGCAGATCATTTCATTTTGAGAGACTGTCATTCCGACGAGTGACCATTCGTCCACCTCGCTGCTATGATCTCGGCCCATTATACCGCTTAGCGGAGGAGTCGAGTTTTCTGAATGAACGTATTCACGTTGTCGGCATCCATGCATCACATCGGGTCAATCTCCTGAAGACCGTCGCCAACTCTCCGCCTGGTCCGATCGAGTATTCCCGACGTGGTCAAGAGAATGGGCGAGCGTAATTTACCTGCTCGGTGAACCGCTTGAAGTCTGTTCAAGTATTCCTCAAGCGCGTCAGTTTTCGAAGTTGCGAGTTCGCGTCGTCAGACAAGAGATTTGCACCACGCCTCATATTCGAGAGCCTACAGAGTTGAGCGGGAATGATTTTGCAGCCGACACAAACGTTCAAATGAGAGCGTGACCTCCAGGGAGTTGAGCTCCGGAGTGCCCGGCTCACGATTCACCAGATGTGGCTTGAGCTGCACGACTCGTGGTGAATCTCAGGGCAGAACACTCTTGGGACAGCACATATGAACACACATACGCCGTCACACGACATGAAACAACTGCGCAATAAGCCGCAATCGCGGAGCAACTTCTGTCGCTCCTTGAAGAAAAAGAGCCATCGAAAGAGGCGTAATAATGAATATCCTTCTCGTCTTCCACAAAGCCATTCGTAACTCCCTAATAGTCAATACCAGAAAGAGTCAATCGACTTCCTTTCCAGACTCAGTCAGCAGAGGTCGGAGCCCTTGCATTGCTCAGCCTTCACGAAGACGAAGTTGTTCGGCGCTGAGGAGTTCGATGATTGTCGTCGGAGTCACGTCGGTAGCCCCGACGGTTGATTGACTGCTGTTACGGATGGCGCGGCATTCCGAGTGGGGAACGGATCCGATTGAGACGGTTGCCGCTCTCCTCTTCCCGAACTCTTGACTTTTGCCTCGATGTCTTACGTACTGGACAGTCTAGGACTCACGACGAACCTACCGAGTTCCGCCGATCTTGCGGACTTTCCGTACGGAACGTATCCGGGATAGGAATCGTGCCCAACCATGGATCATACACGGTATATTTTTCCCGGATTCGTTCCGTCGAAAACATGACAAGGTCTCATCGTGGCGAGAGCTGTCAGGTGGAATGGCGCGGATCGGGAATTCCTTCCGACACTCATGTTGTTGACAGTCGCATTGAGATTTTCCACTCCGATATAATCGCGATACGTCAACGAACTAATGCTCATTGTCGAAGCGGCATAAGACGCCAGTTCTCTGGATAATTAGGTCCGCTGACGTCGCACTTGTTGTTGTTGTCGCAGTCGCCGGTGCAAGCACCACCGCTACCGCTCACAGACCGACTGACTGACGGGTGGAAAGATTCGCTATTAAAAACCCATTAACATGGGAGCCGTTCCGAGCGGCATCGTGGCGCCGCAGCCCATTCAGCGGTTGGCTGGGTTGCCCACACAATCGAACGATCGGAGAGATTTGGGCATCCAGAGCGATAACGAATTTCGATTATTGCTCTTGCCCGACCCATTTTTCAGCTGATGCCCCAGGAGCAGGACGGTAGACCGTTCTCGGAAGCTGGATCAGCGCCTCAACTTGGATTAGGCATACGCGATCCGATACGGTTCACCTATGGGGTCAGTGCTCGGATCGAGGATCTCACTCTACTGATAAGAAAAAGCCAGAGAGCTGACATATCAGGACTATGTTCCACTTGCCCCAGCGAGTTTTGGTTTTGAGCGACCGTTCTGAGAGGTCTGCTCTACCTTAATGAGCGTGAATCGACATAGGTAATGGTTGAGTTCCACAAGGATCAATCAGGTTGTAATGGCATTCAGCTGTGACACCTAGGCACGGGAGCGTTACGTTGCCTGCCTGCTGCTGTAGCTCGGCAGCACACGTCTCATGTCACGGGCTGAAACCCACTGCGGTGGGAAATTTCCGACGCGTCCCAAGCTGAACACAATGGGAGCGGACGACTCCTGCACTGCACGAGGCGCATTCTTCGCATTCCACCGGTGACATGCTCACCTTGAACGTGACGCCCTGCCTGAGCCTCGACCAAAATTCTGTTTTTTGGTCCGGCACGATTTAGGGACGCTCCGCGCGTTCGACTCCGGATGAGGAGTGAGGGCAGATGCTTGAACTCAGTTCATCCGTGTGGGTACGATCGGAGGCGAACACGAAAATGCGGTAGCGCTGGTTATTGTATCACTCGGCAGGGAAGCCGTCGATCTGACCAGGGAGGAAATCATAGAACACTGAAACGCAATGATGGGTACAAAGATACACACACATGGCGCCCGGCGACGAATTTTGCTGTGAACAGGCGAACACGGCCTTCCGTTCGACGAGCGCGCAGTTGAGGGAGGGATTCTAAAGCGAATCGGGTTAGCCGCCCGACGGGAAGTAACAATCAATAGGTCCGTGACGTGCGAGCTCCAAAATAGAATCAATCACAGGTAGATTGACGACAGTCTCATCATTCAAAGCTGTTCGCGAATCCTCATGAACACAATTTCTGTGCACGACCGTTGAAATTTCGAGCGCTAGGGTCTCACCGTGCACCGTTTTCCCGGAGCCCCGCAACAAGAGAATCTGGACCCCCAGCCGGTCCCGTGAAGAGAGCCCTCAGATCTGCGGCCAGCTTTCGAGCGTACGCTGCTGTCTTCAGTCGATATGGAGCGGCAAAGAAAATCACTCATCGAGCATGAGAGCGTCGGAAAATCCGCGGAGGCCCGACAGCGCGCGGAAAACTTATGGCCACCCGCTTCGAGCTCAGCCTACTCATATACCGAAATTGAAGGAAAGAAACATCCTAACCTCACAGGTTCAAATGTTGGTACACAGAGGAGAGAGCGTCGAATCAGAATCCGCCACGTTCCCGACGTTCTGTATTACCAAGATGACTCACGATTCTCACGTTCTATCCCAACTTTCTGATTCTATCGCGAATCGGTCTCTATTGCGACAGGCAACGCTCGTATCCCCTCGGATATTGCAGGGAAAATGACACTTGACTTCTTCGACTCGTCCTCGAGTACGTGATACAACGCGTTTTCTCGGGTTCTCCTCGGCTCCACACAATGGTTCCGGTGATCCAGAAACCCCACAGAAACCTGGTTCGGAACGGCCGTCTCCGGACGCTCACAGATCGATCTTGGTTGGTTTCTCTTTGAGATTAGGGGCTGGAGTAGAGCGCTGAAACGGCGTCGGGGAGTGTTGTGTTGTATCTGTCCGTTACTGGTGTCGGAGATCCTCACGGTGACGAGTGATTTATGTTGGGCTTCTGCTGCCTCGAGACGAGTCGTGGAAAACTACTCGGAGTTTGGTTAATGCGTCGTGATTCAAACTCATTGTTGCACTCGGGGAGATAAGGTTCATCCCAGATAACACCGATGTCAATCACAACGCTCTTGAGTTTCCGTTGATTAATGCATCAGACCGGTTTCGCTCTGGGTTCGCGAAGCACTGAGCCAATCTAGAGCGCTTTCCGCCTTCCGGAAGCGGGGCTCGGCATAGGATTTTTTGGGATGGAAGCTCTTCGAGATTCCACAGCCTGCTCAGCCCACGGGACGGGAGTCCAGAGCGACTTCTCCCAAGCTACCGCGGACATGGATAGAACCCTTGCTCAAAAGTCAGAATGCCGTTTTCAGAAATAATCAACTACAAAGATATGCTTTATTCCGAATATGGTCCGAGCTGATTACTCAGTCCCCGCTTTATGCCATCGATGAATCTCGGGATTGAAGAACCAGAGGTCCGGATGTCCCTCGTGGAGATCGTTCAAACCGGATTCGGACCACTTGAATGGCGGCAAGGGATCGTACGTAGGACCGGCTACGGCGAGGAACTCCAGAGTTTCGAACAACTTCGAACACGTAACCTTGGCGTCGGTAGCTCCGTGGGAACGGTGACCGAGAGCTCCGAAGGGGTAAGTTCCGTTGGCGGGGTTCAGATCGCAGCGAGCCGATATTGCATTTTCAGCAGAGTAGGGAGGGGTGCAGTTGCAGCGCGACAGCTCATCGTTCTTGAAGTCGTTGTATCTATTGGTGCGAGGGATTTTTTTTGAAGCGAAAGCTCTCCTGTATTCTCAGATCACACAACGGGAAACTCGCCGCAAAGATACGAACCTCATAAGTTTGAACATCTGACCGATGTCTCGAACCATGCCTTGATCTCTCCGGAAAATTTGACTCCGTGGGTTTTTATCGTACGTGAACCAGTCCCCGAATTTCTCGACTTGTTCCTTCCATCCGCTGCCCCCATAGATTTCCGGATAGAATCTGTCGATATAAGCAAATTATTTCCTTCTGAAATAGAAATTCTCTCGGAGGCGGTGGATAAACATCTAGTGCCTCCGCTGCTGCTCAATCGAGAAGCAATTTCCGGCAAAAGAAATCCCCATCGCGATCTGCAAAGTCCTAGGCTACAAGGCTCTCGACTCGCGACTGTGGTTCCCTCCGACAGCAAAGCCGCAAAGGGCTTCGTTGATAGTTCAGAGCTCAGAGACCAATCATGAACCTTCTACGGATCGCTCTACGATGCGTCGGTCTTCGGTTCGGGCGAAAGCCTTGGATTGTACCTGAACTCCTCCTAATTATGTGTTTCGTCGCCGCCACCGTCTACAGACTCACAGTCTCTGTTTTGTACTTCAGATCTTTCGGTTACGCCTACCCAGCATTCTGCGCGACGGTGGCGTATGCAGTGGAGTGTATCAACACCGTACTTCTCTTCCAATGGATCCGCAAGAACTCAGAATTCCTCAGCAGAAATGTAGACTGGTCAGCTCCGCTCGTGAGCAACGTTGTGACGGTGTTCTACTGCCTGCTCTGCTTATCCAGAACGTCCAGGCTGCAATTGATGAGCGGAAGGGCTCTATTCTCGATGTTTCGGAAGAAAACGATTCTCTTTTACGTGGCAGAGAGTTTGAGCTCGTGTTTCGTTTCATTGCCGTGGTTCTTGTGCGCGAGCTTGCTCTACAAACTCCTCAAGCACCACAGCGATACAGTGGAACGTCTCAACGAAATGATCGATGCCAGGAATGCGAGAGACTTCATGGCAATCATCAAGGAGGTCATGGAGCTCATGGATACCAGCAACAGCTCCCTGAGGCTTGCACTCGGGATGGGATACCTCAACATGATTTTTCTGACCGTTATCGAGCGTTCTGCGTATCCTTTCACGAAATCAATGCAGGGATTGCAGTTACAACAACTGTTGAGCAGATTGCTGACTGACAGCGTCTTCCTCTCGACCTGCGTTGCCGGTCATTGGATCGAGCGCAGCATGGCTAGGCTTAGACAGAAGGTTCGAGTGAGCCAGATGAGACTCGTCCGACGACATCAAGGACTCGAGCTATTCCTTTCTCAATCGGAACATATGTGCATCTACGGCGGGCTCGGCCAAGCTCTGTCGCTGAAAACGGCCTTGAAATACATCAGTTTCACCACCTCCTTCAGCTGGCTGATCACTCAAACCGCGGATCACATTCGCCAGGCTTACGCATCTAGCCATCGGGGGAGTTGAGCTCGATCGCTGGCTGACTTACTCTTTTCTGAGAGATCGATATCAGAGCTCATTCATTAATTATTGAAGTATCTCGCTCGAGTTTAAAGTCACGAAGGGAGTGCATTCTGATCCCCGGAAGCCTCTTCGTCAAGCCCAAGAGTAGATCTGTCGTACTTACGGAACATTGTAGCTCGGCCAGTAAGCTTGTTCCGAGAGGAGTTTGCTCTGATCGCCAGAAACAATCAATCCGCTGTAATGTGTCCAGAACATGATTCGATAAACATTTCATGCACTAAAAAATTGGAGCGAAATCTCGGAGTCTCAGCACGGGCATTTCGGGGCATTGCTAGCCTCGCGAGGGCTCGCTCTGGTTTCGCATTGGACAGTCTCCCACTTACGGAATCTCCTCGAGTACGGTCAAAGTGCCAGGTCGGATGGGCTTGCCAGGTGTGAATTTCTTGTAATCGACGATCATCCATTGGTTGTTGTATCTGTGCGAGCATCCATTTCCAGTGAGAAAAAATTAATCCAAGGAGCTCCGGATACCGTGCGTAGTGTAGGATCGAATTCATAGATATGACGAAGCAGCGAAGCTCCAGGGTCTGAGACACCGAGGTGACTGTTCCACTGTGTACTCACGTTCCGCTACCTTCTCTCTTGAACAGATCGGCCCACTCTTGTCCAGTGGATGCCAAACGATTAGCGACGATAGTTCTCAACCATTCGAGATTGCACTCTGGCTTAATAAATCTCCATTTCGATGGGTCGCTGTTGCCGATCGTGGTCTCCATGCTGGCCTGGAATGGATCACAAACACTGAGCGCCAGAACACGCAACCAGATCGCGGAGGATCTTACGTTTGGAGGAAGGAAGGAGGAGTCCTCACCACTCCTGACGACATCAGATGGAAGTCGTCTCCGGAGAAAATTCTCCCGGGGCTGGAGGAGAATGTCATCGTTGGGGCTGTGATCCGAGTATCTGCAAACATCACTTGCATCAGGGAATCTGTTGCGGGCGTACCATGATTCCTCCGAATAAAGACGACCGCGAGTAGGCGCGGGTCTACCCGCATGCCCCGGGAAAGCTCGCGTTCCCGGAAAATTCCCAGGGTAGAGCCGATTCCTTGCTCGATATGCACCGCCTTAGGGCGTGAGGTGAGCTGCTAAAAAACGCGACGAACCAACCGTTTTCGTCGCAGGAGCCGAGTCTTCGACCATCCCACCGGAGGTCAATCCTCAACCCTTGGAGCACTTCCCTGTGGCTACAGGACAATTCAAGCCACCATGGGAGAAGACAGAGAAAGAATCCGAACGAGAGTTGCACTCCTCATGCGCCAGTAGCGCGATCGAAAATACTTTCTGAGCTGACGGAACGACTTACTGCTCATATAAGTTGTTTGGTAGTTCAGGGTGTATTTCTTCAGTATACGAAGCATTGTCGAATAACCACTCCAAGTCACGTGGGAGAAACACAGATCGGAGTTGTCGGGAAGTACCTTCACCAAGGCTGAGCAATGTCCTCCCCCGGTGACCCGACGAAGTTTGGGGGATTTCAAGGCTTGCTCCAAATCTTCCAGATCTCCGTCAACGTTGAGGAAGCTTTAAGGATACTGAACTTACAGCAGGAGATGCGGTTCACCAGCCCCATCAGAACATAGTTTCCAATGAATATTTTTCCAGAAACTTCACCACACTTACAGTACATCAGTGACGGTGTCGTATTTCCCGTTGGGGAAGTAGCTCTCGTGTTTCTGTTTTTTCCACGAATCTTGGATCCCCATGAGTTGAGTCAGAGCCAGATCAGTCTACATCGGGGGAGGGATTGAATAGCACAGAGGGTTTAGGTCTTCTGATCTGATCTCGGTGAGGAATCTCCGCGGGTAGGATGTGGATAGACGCTCACTTGATACCAGAAAGGATCCGTTTTCCGATTCTTGATGTTCTCCTGAACGTAGCGAAGATTCGAGTTCAGAAAATCATGGAGTCTCTCGCAGTAGTCCTCTTGTCCCTTGCAGTAATCCCGCATAGTGTTGTTGAAGTGCATAGAGATAAGTTTCCTGGTGAAATAACCCTCTAGTATACCCGCAGCATAAGCTTGGTAGTGATCAGGGTAGGAAGCATTCGTCGCTATTTCCAAGTACGAGAACCTGCAAATAATGAAGTAGGTGGGTATTGAAGATCGAACTCTGATCGGATTTCATCGCAAATATCATGCTTCGTTTTAGCTTTCGAAATTAGGAAAGGGAGAGATATCCAACGACGACTTCTACCCTGTCTCTGTGATTGAGTTCTCGAAGGTGCCCCACGCCACAGCGACACCGTCGCTCGGGCCTTTCTTGACGGTGAAATTGGGGGGTACTGCATCCAACTCGACATGCGCAACATCATGTGCGCAGTGAGCCCATCCAATGAGGACAGGGATTATCAGTAAGGCTCGCATCGCCTGAAAATATCGAACTCGAGTGATCTGTCCAATCGCATGTCGGTGGACCGGAATCGTCAATTACGCATCAAGCCCAGTGTGGATATGAAACGCCATCTGAAGAGGAATTCGAAACAACGAGAACGCGTAAAGGCAAGAATTTGTCAAGCTCATCCGCCATGCTCAACGATGATGGGCAGGACAAGCGTCGCATCGAGCCATAGAAAACTCACCGCAGAATCCGCCGAGGAGACGAGTATGATGACCATGCGGCGGTAGTGGCAATAGCTCGAAGCGAGAATCCTCTGCTACAGATATCCCCCGTCTCTTTGAGCGAGGAGCCGTGGTGTATCAACGGACTGCAGCGAGATAGCGATCCACCGATTGAACGGGATCAACGTGTATGCGGTCACTTGATCATCGCCGAACGTTGTTGAGTATGCAGCTCGTCGGAAATCCTAGAGCTACTCTGCTGAGAAAATCATCAGTCCTTTTCAATTGATATCCTCTATACCAAGGAGCCTAGCAGTTTTTCGTTTCTACTGTAGTTGTCCCATATAAACATACCTACAGAGTACATTTTACTCGGAATGTGTTCCTCCGATTTGATCCCTGATTCAACGAAACCATTCATTTGCGGGTGTGAGAGCGAGAGGACCAGGTCGTGGAGTCATTCTCAATCTCTACATTCCTTCGTGATTGTTCGGAATCTCCGGAATCACTTTCGGACCCTCTCCGTCCTTTCACGTTGGAAAATCCCTCGGGGACTTCCGTTCCGAATTTTTTCTCACCTTGGCCTACAAGTGTAGGTCGTGCTCAAGTTTCCCAGTTTACACGAGTCTTTCCTTGCCTTCGAGGGCGACTCTCGTCACGCAGTCTCTGTCATAGGAAGGGTTGCTGCGGAGGAGATCACAAGCGCCTTTCTTTTTCCGCCTACTGGAGTTCGCTCCATACACACAATCGAAACATCCGTGAGTAATCGGTCGCTACTCGAAAACGGCTTCTGCTCGATCAAGATCTCTGTTATTACGCGTGATTCGCAACTCCGAACGGATCGATTTCGACTAAGGCCCGATACCTCTGCAGGCACACAATGGATCTCTGGCAACTTATCTCAAGTTGGGTGCTGCTGGGTTGCCTGCCGCAAATGCTCGATGCTTTTGGGTGGCCAGTCTCCATGAACCAGGTTGTCTACAACAACGCACAAATCGTCGCCAGGGCTCGCAACTTACAGATACAGCAAGGTATGCGGCGCCCGAGCGCGGGCCGTTAGGTAGGTGCAACCTGAAGTCCACCGGGAGAACGTACCATTTCCCAAGATAAGAGACTCTGCATTGTGAGACGAATGCTAACCCATGCATTGCATCGATCGGTTTGTGAATAAGCTGCGGAGAGTCATTTTGATCGGTGAATTTACAATGCACCTACATTTCTGGGGAAGAAAGTAGTAGGAATCATTCCCTGCCAAACTGTGATTGGTGATAGGAGAGTTTCTCCCGGCTCGCGCCTACCAGAAGGTTAGGTGACTGATCATGATCACGTTTAGGGAGGTGGGGCCTCGACGTTCACTCGATATTATTCCGACGAGCTCCCATAGCGGGCGCAATTCTTGAGACTCTTCAGTATTCGCCTGTCAACTCTCAACACCCGCAACGTCACGAGCTCCGAACAATCGGGGGAAAGCTTTTAGAAATGAATGAAAAAAGATGAAGAGGCTCTGACACAGGGCTAAAACGCTCGCATCAACACGAATTGATGCTCCTATTCCACGGAGCTAACTTGGAGTGAGAATTATTATTAATGCAAGAATATCAATCAATCAATCAATCTATGTCTTCCTCGGCGCACCGCTCGGGAACTTCACGCGACGCTAGGTTCCGCCCGAGACTTGACAATCTGAGGGCTACCGAGGACCGTGGACGTCCCCGGCGTCCTGATGTAATCTTGACCCCATTCGTATTGCTCGTGCTCTTCCGACTCTCTCGTGACCCGTTTGTCAAGTGCTACGTCTGAGGCTGTCGACGGCTTAATTCCGAACAACGTCATGCAAGATTAAGACAGTCGCTTGATCTCGTGACGAAGAGCTCAGCTCTAGCTGTCCCTCCAGGCCATCCAGCATTGGGATCTTCTCCCGATCTCGACTCCGTTTCCCCAGCGGATTGGTGTCCTCGCGGAAAAATTGCTGGTTTCGGAGGATCGTACCCGGCAATCAGGGAGTTGTTTGTCAGATGAAATCGCAAGCGAACCCCTGTCCAGCCCGGGAACACTGAGGATCAGCTCCGGAGCGGAAAAAAGAGAACGTAGGAAACGACGAGTTGAGCATTCCCGAAAGGTCTCCAATCGGCAGCCTCGAGTCTATGACTGCGCTCTCCCAAGTCCGGTACCGTTCTAATCTCATCGTCGTGGGAAAATTCCCGACTTTCTGATTCGCATCACTAGGAAGTCCCCTCCGTCCGTTCCGTACGATATCCGCATCCAGTGAGCTCAAGCTCCTGATTCGGATTGATGACGGGAAGTTCTGACAAAATCTGCTGGCGAGAGACGAGGGTAAGATACAGCAATCAGACGTGATCGTCGATCGAGTCAAGAAGAGAGCTTACTTTTGGTTTCCATTTTCGTTCAATCGAGCAGTGACGATACGCTAGTATAGATGAGGTTACAGAAGAAGAGGTCCTTAACGGGACGTCCGCACCCCCGGTAGACGGTCGGTCGACGGCAGCAGATGGATCGTTTGTGTCCCACCGTAATCATAATGGCAGGAATACGGTGGACGGTGGTGCCGATTAAGCGCTCATTATTGACTCTCCCCTCGGAGCCAATCTCATCTGATCTGTTCAGTCGAGGAGAAACGGTGCCGTCGGCTGCCCTGACTCCTCCCAACTCATCGAAGACGGGCAGTTAGTTCTGTGTCGACACTTTTCAAAGACGACTCTGTTTCCCCCCGGATTGACAGATTTTCCGCGGAAACCTCAATCGAGCCGTGCTCTCCTGCAGGGAGACTCGATTCGTGAGAGAAATCCCCTGATGGTTCGTTCCCGCAGTGGATTGATCCACGAGCCTCAGCGAAGCTCGGTCGGAAGAATGAGGAAAGCGGGTACGGTCCGTCGGGTGCCCGCGCTGGGTCCAATGCGAGCGGCCAATACGTCACGCCAGACCTGACATTGTTTTCTGGCTGTCGCCAATGTCTACGAATCTGACGATCGGCTCGAGAAACCATCCGGTGCTTATCCTGGAGTCGAGTGAAGAAAAAATAGTCGATCGGGATAGCTGCTTGTCGTCGTCGTCGCTCTTGCTGCTGTCGGTGCTCCTGCTGAAGGAACAGCAGTGAGAGCTTACGGATGAGTCTCCAGAAGGTAGTAGACTGGCTGGCTCGTCAACGTGGCTCCACAGAGCCTGCCGCCAGTCGACGTCGTCGTCTTCGTCGCTTGGTCGTTCGTCCGTCGGTCCGTCCGCTCGCCATCTACTCAACCTTAAGAAAAAAATCAACAGCAAGTGGATAAACGTGAAATAGCGCCAACGACGACGGCGACGCCAGCAGCAGCAACTGAGGCAGCGGAGACTCGAGACGCTGGTGCGTGGGCGCGTCCGGAGACGACCCGACCCAATCGGCAAGGAGAATTGCGCTCCGAAATTTCGACGGTGATAAGATCCGATACTTTTTATACGAACGAACGAACAAACAACTCTTACTCTACTGTCTGTGCGTTTGTGTACCACTAGGGAGGCGCTCTGTGAGCCGTCACTCAGTCAGTCAGTCAGACTATGAAACTATCAAACGTCGCTCCCGGTCCGATCAAAGTCTACCATTTCGTTCACTGAATGCTCTTATTTAGGAGCTGTCAGTCGCGGCTATTCCTCGTCAAGCAGGCAGGCTTTATGACGTGATCCTGGTTCAACTCATCGGGGCAAGCATGGGAATCGCCAGACAGAGAGTGATGTTTCTCATCAAGTCGTCAAATGAGTTGCTGGTCGGAACCCGCCCGCCGCCTTCGTCTTCTCCTTGTGCAGTGAATACACTGAATCGACATTGGAAAATTCGCGGAGAGATGCGTGCGAAGCCTGGAAGAGGAGCGCTGAAGCTTTCCGAAGCCCGGAACCGGAGACCGCAGCGGAAGACCTGAAGCTCGACCGATACGGCTCCGCTTCCGTCAGTCAAGAACAGTCATTCGACATCCTTCCTCGTCGCAACGGCGTCTACCGAAGGAATCCATCATGAGAACATTCGCTGCTCCACAATGAACGGAAGTTCGCCGGCGAGACGATTCGAATGTTGAGATTCGAAACGTTAACGAAATTAGGTTAAGGGAGGGAGAAGGGTGCCACGACGCCTCGCCGTCTGCTTATCTGTCTCTCGAGAGCTCGCTCTGTGGGTGCGACGGGTGATTTTGCGTATTCTGTGCTAGTTTGTCCGGTTGACGACAGTTGTTGTCAGACGACGACTCTGTTGTTATCCCAGTGTCGCCATTCCCACGACGCAAGCGAACAAAGCGGCGCCGCTCGTTCCTCGCTCGACTCGAGTAACAGATGGAGAGAGCGCCAAGACTGGGTGTCATTGGGCGGCGTAGAGACTCCGGTCTGGCTGCCGATCGGGCTGGCTTGACTGACTGACTGACTGAATGACCAAGTGACTGGAGAACGGTTCGCTCTGAACTGGTGGCTACGTAGACTCATCTGGGAAGCTGTTGGCTTGCACGGGTTGACAGTAAGTGAACCGGAGACGGAGCAATCTTATAAGCGAATAAATTGCTTCCCTCCGGCGGGTATGCTTGACACATGCGATCCAGTTGAGGAGACGTTAGACCTGTCGCGAGTGGTCCTCTCGGGAACTCAGTTCGCGAACGAGATTTCCCACAGCTGACGGACAGATAATGGAACTTTAGCTCAACATCGAAACTCTTCCGTACGGTGTCCACTCCTTCCGAGGACTGTCGCTTTCGTTAGAGCGAGGGTCATTTCCGAGAATGGAATTCTTGACCGGGGCTCTAGGGATCAGAGAACGAGAGTTTTCCCCTTCTCTATCAATTTCTTTCCCGGGAGAAATGAGTGAAATGCTCATTTCTTATTCGATCTGACATTTTGGTGATGCGCTGCTCCGTCGGATGATCAGGGGTCTATGCAGCGAATCTACTCCGACACATCGTAAGCCGAGAGCGTCATCATACCAATCCCGAGCAGCGAGAGACACCCATCCAGACCCCTCGCCCTCCTCAGTCATCCGCTCCTTTTTCATAAGGAGCCGCGGACACTTGACCAACGGCCCGATCGAAAGAATCATATTCTAATAGCTTCATTTCGAGCGCAGCGTCATTATTCTTCATTTTTGAGCAACAGATATCCACGCACTGAGAGATGAGGGGAATGTCCAAATAATCGAAGAATTCTCATTTCCAGAAGCCGCAAACGGTGGGAACGGTGAAGAGGAAGGTGAGCCTGCAACAACTGAAACTGGTCAGGAGGGACTCAATCGAGGCGAATCTTCAGCTTCGAGACGATTGAATGTCAAAGGCTCAAACCTCACCGTTCCTAGTGCACCCGCAGCCAGACACAACATGACGACTCGCGCGCGAAAGAACTCCGGTAGCGCTTGAAGAAGTCGAATAACGATGATCATCATGCAATAAACCCGAGAGACCTGAGCTGCACTGTGAAAAAAAAACAATCAGGAAAAGCTCGCGGTGCATGGAAGGCGATCGACATAGAACAATTAAAATAATCAGTTCGAGGAATCAAGCACTCTGAAGCCCTAAAGACCTGTCGTGATGGGATCGATGTCTGAATCTGATCGGTGTACACATGTTCATTTCGATAGAAGGAACATGCCGGCATTTATCCCAGGCTTGGATTAGTTTATGATGGACCGGTCGAGATCCGGCGTTGCTCTACATGCAGCCTGCTCGTTGACCCGCCCCGCTGAGCCCGCGCTTCTTGGACTTGGCGCCATGGGGTTAAACAAGTATGACGAGCAATAAACTTTGCGCGGAGCACTTGTTTAACAAGGAGTTAATGACGATCACCGTTGCGAGGACAGAGTTGATGATACAGTTGGCGACGAGCTGTGCCGCCGCCAAACTTCTTCTATTTGTGTTTCTCCCTTGTGTTTGTGTCGAATTGATGGCTTGTGGCTCGACGGACGGACGCGCGGACAGACGAACGGACCGACCGATCGAGCGACGGGCGGACCGATCGAGCTAGCGACCAAGCGACGGACCGACCGACTGGCCGGCCGGCCGGCCGGCTGGCTGGCTGCCTGACCGGCCGTGGTTCTTGCTAGCATCGAGCGGGAAGGCAGACATTCGTCGAGACAGGGAGTTGTTGTGAGATGCGGCGTCTCTCGCTTTTCTCTCTCGTGGCACGAGCGAACCACGACGACGACGGCGGCGCTGAACCGATTTAGCAGTTCTGGCTGGATAGCTATCTGGTCGGCTGTCTAGCTAGCTAGCTAGTCAAATCCAAGCTAGACCAGTCGTAGAACCAGGCAGCGACCAGGCAGGCAGGCAAGGTGATCATCAGGGCGCCACAGCGACTGCGTCCGAGGTGCTCCTCTTCTTCTCTCAGGAGAAGCCTTTTCAGGCAGCACGCGCAAGAACAGCAGCCGCCGCATGTGAATCCAATTTATCGGTTTTGTATGTGTGCGTAATCGCGATTAATCGCTGGCAACTGTGATGAATCGGCGGAGGAGGAGAAGGCGGCGGCAGAACCAGCAGAAAATAATTACGAAGAGCAGGAGAAAACCTAGAGTACGTAGAGATCGTCTCCAGACCCCTGGTCCAACTTTGTGTCTTACCACGCCCTGCTCCCTGAGTTCCCGTGGAATGGCGCGCATGGCAATTCGAATGAGTGGAGTTCCGAAGAAAAGAACACGTCTCGCCGTCGGCTATGGAGAGCCGCTAGAAAATGAAGAAACCTCCCCGTGGATTGACTGACTGATTGTGAGACTGGCTGACTGACTGAGAGACAGACAGAGGGATAGACATTGGCACGGCCGTCGAACGAGTTAAGCAGGGTCTCTCAAGTAAATGGACCGGCGCCTGTCTCTCTCGTTTGAACTTCGTCCTCTTCTACACATCTGCACCCCGGTCCTGGCGCGTCGTCAGACATTGTCATCGCCGACTCCAGCCATTATGATTCATTGCTTTGATTTCTTTGGCGAGCCCGGATTGGACGCCTTTCAGAACTTTTGAAATCCAAGGAAGGAGCTCCACGTTAGAGGGAGTCGATTCCGAGCCTAGATCGGGGTCTCGGCCGGGTTGGGAGTCGTGGATGAGCCGTTTCCTGCTTACTCCCATGGTCAGCTCGAAGAGCCGAACATCGGTGCGTTGTCGAGGATTCCAAGGCCGTTCTCACGTCGGATTTCTGATCGGAGGACTCAAGAAGAGAAGCGTTCCATTCAATCGATATATTGCTCGACTTTATTCCGTATCGAACAGACTATATACATCTCCAAGTTATGTACAGGGAAGCGACCGATATATTAGTCCGGGCGGACTAGATCGCTCTTATCACAGACAATTGGCTCCAAGAGCAAACACTCCTTGGAAGATCTAAAAATGTGCACCCGCCGCTCGACTCGTGCATCGGCAGCTGAGCACCTTGTCGACGTATACGGCGTGCAAACCGTCGAGACGACCGGGGCAGACGAGGGTGATTCGGAGTTTCTGAGTTTTCGAAGCCTCGCAGTTGCCGCACGTTCGGAAAGGAGGCAACCCGTGGTTAGGAATGTAGAACGAGTTGCATTGACCGTAACACATGTTGTTGACGATGGTCTTCGGATGACAACCTTCGACTTCGATCTTCTGCGCGAAGGTCTGAATTTTGCAGAAATCGTCTCGGATTTTATCCAAACTCATCAGAACCTGCGCCGAACTCTTCTCGGTGAGGAGATCGGGCGTCTTGTCGTCGTCTTGAGCGACGCCTTCCTGGAGCTCCTTATCGATTCCGAATTTCGGGAGCTCCCGGTTCAAATTCCTCAGGATTCTGCTCACCGGGCCGCGTCGACAGTTACCGTTGACAGTGCATCGCCTCCGAGAGGGTCTGCGGTTTCTCTTCGGACGCGGCGCTTCAATGAGCTTCCTGGAAGCGTCCTCGTGAAACAAGTCGTCCTTATCCGTAGTCTCGTCGACTCCCTTCCAAGGAGAACTCCCCGACGCCGTGTCCGAATCTTCGGAGTCGGACTTCACCAATTCCTGGGACGATGCAGCCTGTCCCGTCGAAAGTGCGGGACTCAGCTCGTTATTGCTGCTGCTCCTCGATATCCACTTGTAGAAGGCCATATGAGTCGCCTTCTTGATAGGCGGCTGGGAACCGCTCGCCAGCGAGAAAACGGCTGCGGCCAATAATGCGGATGAGACTTTGATATTCTGAAAACGAAAAAAAATCTGTCAGAACCATGGGTTCTTAAACGACTCGACACGATCCGTCGTCGTTCGGCTTCACGAAAGAGACAACTTACGGAGAAATATCTACGGGGGGGAAGAGAGATCAAAAACTTAATTACGCCACTCGCTGCAGGAGCCAGCGAGAGGTGTGAAGAATGTTTCGAGCATGTTCGAATAACTGAGATCAATAACTTCACTGCGGATCTAAAGGTCACAGGTCGTCAGCTCAGGCCTTGTGACTCCTCGCCGTAGGTTATTCTCGCGCCTCGAGCTCATCACGTCGATCCAAGATTTTTTTGGGAAGTCTCGCCCTCGCTATAAATCTGAATGGGTCGGGTGATTACCGATCCTCTTGGGGAGAATCGGTATGACTCGCGGTTCCAGTTCTTGAGCTTCGCGACTTTCCAGTATCCACCGAATCGTGAGCTTTCTAGTCGATGCGTTTTCATAGCATTAGGCTCAAAGGCACAATTACAGGGTCGTCTGTTTAGACTTCGCTTTTGAGGATTTTGAGAGGTTCGAGCTGATGGCCACCCTCGGCTAAGGAACGCCCAACGAATTTGGTTCCCTACTAATAACAGTGATCCGTGACGCGGTTTTGACATTGGCGCCCGATTCCGACAGTCAATCAGGCCTGTCATCAGTGGAGGGCTCCCTCGGAGTTTGACGCTGTCAGATGCTCTACCCGAACAGAGACCCTCTGTCGTAGCCCTCTTGGGATCCGATTGTCTTACAGACACAACAGTCCATTGGAAAGGAGCGGGCTTTTGGAAAGGATTCCACTCTCAATCGAGATACGGTGCCGTTACCAGATTCAAGAACCTAAATGAAAGTTCATATGCAAACAGGAGCTCACCATTGTTTTGTACTGGGGGTGTCTGGGGATGAACTGGGGCACTGCAAAAACGATTCCCTTGACGGATTGCTCTTTCTGCGGTCAAAAATCCCTCCCGTTCCAATTGGGATGGCTCGAAGAGGTATTCTGAAGTAGCCGATCGGCGAACATCATTTATATGCCTCGTGGGAGGAGACAAGACGAAGTCCCGCCTCCAGGTGAGAGCTAGACTTAACCCTGGTGTCGCTGAAATTCTGGCAATAATCATCGTGTGCTCTGCGATTAATGATTGGACCCGCGAGCGAAGTAGAATTGATCGGGAATCTTCGAGCATGGGGAGGGATTTCGATGCCCACTTCGGAATAGTTCCGGAGTTCACTCTCAGTCCGTCCCGAAGGATTTCCGGCATCGAGTCCCCACCATGATCCACCAACGATCCATCGGCACCATTCCTCGCCGGCTGACTGAAGAAAATAGAGAAACTTCAAGTATTCGACAAAAATTCAGGGAACAGTCAGAGAAACACTGCCGTTCACGGAAAATCACATTCTAGAGATCCCATTTCCTTGGACACGTGCCATGGCGGACTCCGCGGCGCCTCTCGTAGCAAGATACGCCAGCTTTTCTCAGGTTCAGGTCAACAAGAATTTCTCCGGATCGAATTGTATATTTCGGGTGTTTCGCGACATTTTTAAGATTGTTTTCGATCTGAGACCAAAACATGCTAGAGATCTTACGCCGTCTTCCGATGCTTTCTCGGATTCTCGTAGAGAGCTCTCATGATTCGAATGTAACAATCTCGACTAGGACCTATCATGCCTCGAGTATGACTCTCGATGGACTATTCAGTCCTTGCTATGAACACTCTCCCGAAAAAAGTAATTTCCGCGATAAAATGATAATCATTCGACGACTGATCGGCCAATCGACTGAACTTCGGTCTCTCGTCCATGATAGACTCAATATTCTATAACTTACAAGACAGGCCAACCTAGGATTTTCCGGACGAGAGTTTGTCAGCCGAGTTGGACCGTGATAGTCGGATCGATAACACTGGATCCTGCGTCGCGCAGATGAGAGTTGAACCTGTGGTACACCATACCACACGAGGTTCTGATTCTATTTCCCTTTCTTCAAATCCAGGTTCTCGTTTTGGAGTGCCTGCAGGCAGGGAGCTCATAGTCGATCCCCGCTTCGAAGTGTCGCTCTAGGGCCACTGGGCAGAGGATTGCGCTCCGGATTGGGCGGCGTTTTCAGCGCCCCGGAGGCGGACGTTCCCGGAGCGTTGAGGGGAATTGTGATTCCCGATCATGGGAAGGGTATGGAATGAGGAATGGTATAAGAATGAAAGGAAATCTCAGAAAAGGAACCTATTCCGCGCTTCTCGAAGACGTTCTCACGAGCGTCGCCGACTGCAGAGATGCCCACAGAATCTCGATTTGGAGCCGATAGAATTGGTCATCTCCGACGCTTCTTCGCCGACGGGTTGGGATCGATGTTCCATCCTCGTTGCTCTTCAGTAATGATTCTGGCCGGAAGGACGAAACAATTTGTCCCCGAGTTTCGGATCCGCGAACACGGCGGCGGGCATCATTCGGAGTTTCCAGGAGTCTTCCGGAGAGGAGAGCTCCCTTCGAAATAAGCGCGGGGATGAGCCTATCAGAAGGAAGGGGAAGAGGAACGGTCTGGATTGAGGTGCTGCGCACCCGGTGGCCACCGATCTCTCCGCACAGGAAGTCGCTGGTTCAAGAGTCGATGAGAATCGTTTGCAGAGTCGTAGACAGAAAGGCTTCCCAGAAAGCTGTCTCTCGCGACGAATTTCTCCGAAAGCCGTCTGACAAGTGGCTAATATCTAGTCTGTGGAGTATTCGCGATAAAACTCGGCGAGAGACAACGGATCTTCCGAACATGCGGATACACCTCATTCAGCGACACGTCAGAGCTGTGGGCCCTTTAGCGGTCGCAATGTCTTACTTCCGAAAACTTGAAACCCTGGAGAATGCCTGAGGTCTAGGGTTTCCTTCATGAACGGAGCCAGCCCTACTTGTGTATAGTTTCGGAATTGTGGATGTCATGACGTCACCTCGATCGAGCCTCTCGAGCAAATGATACCTACAAGAAACCTTGTGGATTCCAGACACCCGCGAAAAATGAGAACTCAATGAGAAGACTCGGCGCTCCGGTTCACAAGTTCCCGCGCCGACTGAAGGCTTTCTGAGTTCGGTATTCTAAACTCTTGGCGCCGGCCATGTCTGCGGATCTTCAATGATCGCGAGACAACAAAGAGCATACCCCTCGATTGACCAGAGGTGTCAAGCCGTCGAGACATGCTCTGTGGTCATCAAGGTGCGCCGACAGTTCAACCCCAACAGGTGGAGTTATCTGATGCTCGCAGACATTTATCTAGCTCAACACCCCGACGGGTTTGATGGACGCGTCAGCAATCGAATCCCGACTTCGCTTCAAATTGAGTAGCTCTGTCTTTCATAATTCATAATCAGATAAGCGTTTGGATTGCCGACCGTAAAAATTTGTCTTTGTGGGGATCGGGAGCGACTGAGAGACTGTTTGCGTGGATAGATAGGCTCGAGTCGGCTCGTTATTCGACCGAAGCTGCAAAGCTGACTCTGATCTCTGCAGCTGATGGGACATGGAAGCGGGTAAGAGACAAGAATCGTGCCGCCCCAGGCGAGCATGCCCCTCATCATATGGATGGACGCCGATACGCTCAGAGTCGGATTCACGTCAAGTGAAGCCCTTTGACCCCTCTAGTCGGGAGCACAGAAATCCGTTTTGCCTCGGTCAGCGGAGCTCACCGCTGACATTTCGGCAAGAAAGTCGCAAACGTAGCGCTCCAGTGTCAAAATTACCTTATGACACACCGTAGCTGCTCCAGGTGAGAAAGGCGGCGGGATCGGGGCGCTCAGCCATCCTCCGATGGGTCTGAGCCCGAGATTAGAGCTAGCCATGTTCCGCAGTGCAACCCGCCTCGACACCAGACTCGCGGGGAGCCAGGACCCATAACATCTCATCTGCTCGCGTCACTAATGGCCGGAGCTCAGATAGGCATCAATGGAGGTTTCTGTTGTTATTGAGAAGAACATCCGGATGCTAGACTATATCGATGTCTGGCCGTCCCTTCGCGTGTCTGCTGCTCTGGAAGACGATCTTGCATTCGCAGTCCTCGCGGCGCCCCGAAGTACACACAGCTGCAGTGTGCATAGCCGTCTCTCGATGCCGAGACCTGAGCAGCGGTATATCAGCTCGATCGGAGCTCCGACCCAACCTCAAGAACAATGTCGGTGGGAATGCCATGCTTCGACGGCGGAATCAGGGTGACTCGCAGGCGATCTCTCGTGTATATGTTTTCGTTCACAAACATCGGATAATTACTTCGAAAAATAGTCCAGAATTATTATTGTTCTTATTTGACGCTAATGTTACGACGGAGATGGACTAAATGAGAACATCGAAGGAACGAAATTTTCTTCACAAAATAAATTAAAAATCGCTAGTTTATTGTCTTCCATTTCCTCGTCCCCTCGTTCGCCTTCTCGTCAATCCCTAGTCTAACAGCAACTGCTCTTCGCAATCGACCGACGTTGAATGTTTCTCCGCTAACATTATAAGCGCAAGGTTAGGAGTCCGTATACATAAGTTACAACAAAAAGTATTACATACAAGTACATGAACGGGTGTGGCTTTTTGTTGTCGCTTCCTTCTCGATTAATGATTGCTCGCTGTCACTGACTCGCAATCTGGGATCGCCGATGAATTCGTTGACATTCTCGTGTTGTCGGTGATGATGCCGTAGTTGTTAAGAGCGCATGGGGATGATTTTATGGTGGGATATATGTACACATAGTTTACACTTTCAGCTTGCCTCGATTCTTTCCGCTGCTATGTCGGGTTGTCGAAGGGATCCGGGGACGAACACGATGGAGGATAGGGGGCCCGAACAAGTCATTTTTCCCCTCGGACGAGCTTGTCGATATCTTGAGGGCTCGCGATGATGCGCTCTGTCCCGGTGTCGATCGCGATTTTTTTCCCGTGTTCTTTTGTGACACTGGAACTCTAGATTTCTAGATTCACCGTTCATTCATCCAGGTCAACGCTCTCCGATGAAGAAGGTTTGCAACGGCATGTACATTCATCCAGAACGCTGTACACAACCTTCCTCCACCGGCACCTCATGTTTTCCATGTCGAAGTCGTCATCTCCTTCGTCAGATCCCACACGCGTGCGTTTTGAGAATCGGCTTATGTGACAAGCCCAGTACATAAGTTTGAGCTCTTTCCTCTTTTCAGGCAAACATGTTAAACCTGCGGGGGAAGAGTTCAGTCTTGAACGCGGAAGTTCACCTTGAACGATTGCGTTTCTCACGGTACATAATCTTTGCTTCTCGGGACTCTCAGGAAAAATCCATCGTCAGTACAATTCGAGATACCATATCGAAAAGTCCTTCTCACCTGGAGGAATGGAGCAACTCGAGTTCGTGTGTGCGCAGTAGCCTTTCCGCACGTAGCGTGGGAAATAGCGGTCTCCCATATCCGCCCAGTATCTTGAGACCTTACACTGACTATGGTTCCGCAGGAACTTCTTCAGAAGTCGGCGGAATTCCGGGTTGTTTTTCGGAAGATCATCAACCCGACCTCCGAGAAGATCCTTCAACGTTTTGTGGCGCGGGCCGCTCTTCTGTCGAATTTTGTGCTCTACCGATGGAGTTCTGCGGAATGGTGAAGAAATCGAATGTCACGAAGGCGAGCTCTGCGACAAGGACGATATTCGATTCCGCATGCCGTCATGCGCTCGGAGAGATTCATGCAACGAACGGACTCCTGCGAGGCTCACCGTTGTGTGATGTTCGGGTTCGAGATACTCATGTATTTGGGTAGGATATCTTCACCCAGCTCTTTCAGCAGGGCAGCGGTGTCGATCTCCGGCTTTTTATACCTTTCTGCCGGAGGGGGAGGGATGTCTTCAGTCTCGTTGTCGCTTCTAAGCTTTTCGACGAGGTATTTGGCCTTCTCCTTCAGGTCCGGGCTCAGGTCTCCAGCGACCGTTTCGGTGTGGAGCACGCCCGCGAGGAGAATAGAAAACTGGATGCATAGAAAGAAAGTCGTAATCCCACAGTTTGGACATGATAGATGACTCCACCTTTTCCGCTGAAACGAAAAACAAGACAAGATTATGCCTACGCTACTCGTATAATATACACTGATCTGTATTGATTTCCAATTCGGTGTCGAGCTAAATATTCAAGCAGCCAGATGCCTCGTTGGCCACCGCATAAAATTCCCGGAAAGGAAATTTAAATATTAGCTCAGGGAGTCTTCGTCGGTCCGTAAGCACACAATTTCAGCTCCCGGCCAGAGAATTCCTCCAGCGCGTTTCCATGAGCCCAACATTCGCACATCCAATGGGAGCCGATGGAACGAATGAGAAATCCCAGGGACCTATGCTGGAGTCAGGGAGCGAACTCGTCGCTTCGCAGATATTATCCCCAGGATCGGAAAGAAGCGAAAACCCTCGGAGCGGCCAAAGTCGCTGGAACATACTTCAGCCGAGGAGTCTTCGCCAGTGACGCTGTGCGCCGTCATGGGATCCACGCCCAGAGTCAACGAGCGTACGTCATTCACACAATAGATTCAAGAAGGATTTTGTGACACTTGCTCGGATCGCGAGCGCCATACACGTCTTCCAGGAACTGATGTAAACTAGAGTTGTCAGAAATGACTGTTTCTGATGCTTCAACCCTATCTGACGGCCGTTCCACGGAGAGGAATTCCCGAAGTTTTGCATTTGACTCACTCACTCTATCACCGACTGAGTCGCTGGCTCGAATGCACAATACGGAGCTGGTTTCGCCACGAGTCGCGTCGATGACGCGAACATTGCACAGGTAGAACTAAATGTAAACATGTACACGCGGTGCTCGCTCCGCGGGAGCAACGCAGCGACCGGTTATATGGCTGCGTGCAGCGTACATTTACGTCGCGATGTCCCGCACGAATTTTGGAAATCGAGATCCGCTAGGAAATTCGATCGATGAGGAAGTTCGCTCATCGAAAATCAAGCCAAGCGTCACAACTCACTCCGCTGTGTTTACAAAGCATGTGCTGGGTAAGAAACTTCGCGCTCGAGAGCGCTGGGTGCTCTGATTGCCAATTTCTGAAACGTGTCTGCACGCTATCTGCATTTTCTGGAACATTGTTAGACATGAACGTTTCCCAAACGTTCCGGCGCCAAAGCGCAGAGTGGTGTGTTGGCGTCTCATATGTCCCTCACGGAACCAACACGTCGCCTTAACCATAAATGGAGAGTAGCCTTAAATACCGGCGAGCCGCTCATCATCCGAAAACACAAGTACGTCGAGCGTCGGACCGAGCTCCGGCCGGCTCGGACACTCTCGATCCTGGGGGAACCATCCGGATAATGGGCCTCCTGGGCCTTCCGAGGACAATAATTTCAATGATTCACGCATTGGACAAATAATTATGTGCTGCTGTCGGCGGCTTTCTGGATCATCGAAGACTGCCGATGATGGTTTGGAGGGATAGATGAAGATAACATGCAGTGTACGTGCTCGCTTCGCCTGTGTGATCATCCACCACCAAGGGAGTCGACGAATGAACGAAGGCCGCTCGATACTTCTAGAGACTGGCGTCGTCGATTCGGAAACGTGTCGATAACAAAGTTTCGTTCCGCGAAATCATCGCCCATGTCAGGGGTGGATTCTGGTGCTACTGGAGAATCGCCAGTTTACAAAATTACCGAGGACAGCGGCGATATTCGAGAATGAAGCATGCAACTCATCAACCCGCCAACTCTCGTCGACGTTTAGCGGTCTCCTGAGTGTTCTTCGATCCTCCTTCTTCTCCATGGCCCCGACAGCTCCTCGAAGGTATGAACTCGGAGCGAAGAGCCGAGGAAGCTTTTTCCCGGGCTCAAATGCCCGAGATTGAAACGTCCTGGAGTAGAAAATCATGAACGGACCCACCGGAGGCATAATTATTCGATCATCGTCTATAATCATCCGTTCGTAGGTACTTGAGCAAGTCGATCGATTGATTGAGAGAATGATTGACGTCTGAAGCAATAAGAGCGCCGAAGTTCAGACACCATTTGAACTCCTAGGCTGTGCCATTCTCTAACCCGTGGCACAGCGGGGGGGCGGGATGGAATGGCTCTGATGAACGATATCGCGTCATGAGATGTTCCCCAGACACGGATTCGTGGACATCGTGGACTCGGACTGTCTCGAAACCGAGATCTGAACCCTTCCCCGAGACATTGCAACTCAAAAGATGTGCGCTCGATTGTAGCTGCCGTTCTTGATCTTGTCGCTGCTGCTGATGATGTCAGATCGGGTCCTTGCATTCGACGCAGTTTTTTCGTGGAAGGACTGGAACAGCTACTCGGGCGAGCCGCGAGCGAGCGGTCCGGCGATTACTTTCGCTCTGTGCGTACATTCGTATACATTGTGTTTCACAAAGACTCGGAGACAGTGCGCGTCCGCAAAAAGGGGCCGAGTGGGCGACACCCGAATGTACCGGTCTTACTACGGAATCTCGTGCGAGAAGCTTCCATTCATTCACGTGGTCTTCAGACAATGCATACGGCGAGTGATAACTCGTTCCGTCGTAATGGTTCTGCTCGAGGCATCGATCCTCCAGTGGGATTTCATATTTTTCAACTTTTGCTTTTATGTTTCAGTTTGTGGAGCTCGCATTATGACAATGGTGTAATCGTGCAGAAACGCGTTGCAGAAAAACGGGAAATATAGTCGCCGCAATGTTCGAACGTCATATTCCGACCCCAAGGGACGGGACGCGCGATTCCCGAGCGTTGGCAGCATCCGCAACTACTCGCAGAGCTCCCCGTCAAACACACGCACACGATCAGCGAAAACCTCAGATTCTCCCGGTCCTGATCCCCGTTCGACGAGAGCGCCGATCTTCTGGGGTCTAGGCACCGAGTCTAAATTTCCACGGGCGGAATGGATTTCGGCGCTGACCAGAGCGAGGCTTCATTCGACAAGAGGCTTGCCGTCCCCTGCGTTCATCTAGATCAATCCCGAGCGAAGAGTTCCGGAGCACATAAGACCAAGAACGGGTGTCGTCTGATCGAAACTAAGAGATCGCGTCGTGGCCACTTTGGTAATGCCCGGCCCGCTCTCGCTCGGAATCGAGCACGTGATGAGAGTTTCGTCCATTTCGTTGGATGACTATTATGTCTGGTCTCAAGACCTCACTTCGTTCCCGTAGGGCTGGTTAGCTCAGCGATCGAAGAAAAGGTCCCAAGGGATTCTTATATCGTTCACGATGAAGAACACCGATCAATTCGCATCGACTCTCTGGTACGATCAAGGACGTCCATGCAGAGTGTAACGATAGAATCAGCCGGACGAGTTCTATTCGATCGAACATGCTGGGCGAGTCGCAACCTCTGCCCATATTTTTGATGGTCCAATTATCAAGTAAACAAGGCTCCTGTCTCGATAATTTTACTCTAAGGCCGCAGATCTACGAGACGCATCTCTATCTATCACTGATAGAGCCGTGTCGCTGAGACCGGTACTTGAAGACCATCCTATAATCTTGACAAGAAACATCCAAGGCGGATCTCCGCCACTTGGATAATCTTCCTTGTCAGAATAAAGAGCTTAAATGGAGTCGGAGTACAAATAGAGCGGTCAGAGCTGGCAGCTCGGTGGAGCTATCCGATGCTCTCTCAGTCACGTTCAATACAAGCCGTGACAAGACTCACTCAGCTCCGACTCTCATCCCCATGATGAAGCTCCTCGCACCACAGCCTAGACTGAGAAGTTCCGATGGTCCGGTGTGCAAGTTCCGTATCAATTTCTGAACGTAAGAGCTTATTACAGGGTATCGAGCCGTTCGCGCCAAAGTCTGAATGTCCCCTTTAGAGATCGGATTTCGAACGCATCGAACCCACCCACCCCGTGTAAACGATGGAGAGCGCCGTGAAATTGCGCGGAGTCTTGTTCACCAGAACGAGCAATATATCATCAGTAAGCGGACCGAATGAGCGGTTACGCCGCAGCTGCTCATGCGGCTGCTGTTGTCGTAGCAAAGTGAAGACGAGCGATTCCGAGCCAAAGATACAGGCGAACAGAATACGCCCACGGACTACAAAGTCTTCGTATAATCCAACTCAACGGCGCCCAGGCCGGTCATTCAGACCTTCTGTACGTTTTTTCGTCGTATTTAGTCACCCCGACGTCATGGCGTTCCGAAACCCGCAGCGGGAGAATAGTTTAGCTGCTCAATTGATCAGTTTGGTTCTATTATCGTGGAGCTTCTTAGTTCCCCGTGGATTCACGCAGCTTGTCCTGGGGTCCACCCTGTCTTCTTTGCATGGTCGCTGTCCTCCCCACTTTCCCGGGGGAGTTTGAACGCGAGTTGACCGGAGGCGACCGATAGATACAGGCTCAGGAGATTCACGAAAATTACAATGAATGACGTCCATGTGGCGACAGCTATCCGGCCGTCCTTCAAGCTCCCGCCGTCATCTCAGCCGACGAATTTGAGACCCAGGCTCGACAGCCAGCTCTCGAGAATTCATAGAATCGGAAAATGGGAAGCGGTCTACTCAGAATCGGACGGGTGCCTCTCAGATTCGGAAAGATTGTTCGTATTTCTTCCCCGGCTCCCTGGATCTGCGGAAAACTACATCCACGTCGAGAAGTTTTCCGGAGACCGTCAGAAGTGAGTCGCGATCCCCAGCTCGTATTTATCCTTCAGAGGATGTTGTACGCGAAGGCTCGGAATGGACTCGCAGACTGGAGATAGAATCGACTCATTTGATTACTATGTATGCACAGATTGGAGCACGACAGTCGTTTCGTCGTGCCTTGCCGCTAAGGTTGCTGTTGCCGCCGCCGCCGCCAGCGGTATTGCTGTAGCCACAGCCACCACCACCACCGCCGTCGTCGTCGAGAGATTTACGTGGCGCCGTGGCTCACCGACCCGACGTCGCCAGTGAGACACGGCGAAAAAGGAACGAACGAGCTTATGAGCAGGGGGACGAACGCTCGGTAGACCGATGGAAAGATGCATAAAGGTATGGCCGGATTAGCGGGCCGATGAATGGAGATATGAAGGGATCGGAGAACGGATTGATAAGTTCATGATTGATGGATGGGCAATAATAATATGTAGGTGGTCGATTCCGAGGATGGACTCTCCCCCGAACATAGGCTTCGATGGAGCTCGCTGCTAAGAAACTGAGAGAAAAGGATGGTCGGATGATCAGAGTTATGATTGTGTGCGGACCCGAGCTATTACGCTCGCTCTCCATTTCCATGTATCACAATGGGCTACCGTCTACAACTCCATGGCAAGCGTCTGAAAAACCCGCGGGGAAGACGAAGGAGCTCCGAACTTGTCTTATCGGACAGCGTCATCACCCGCAACAGAACGGACGACGATGCCGAGCGGGGCGGCACCGTTAGGCGCCGATTTTTTTTGGAAATAGAGCACGTTCAGAGAATGTGAGCTTCCCTTCCGATTCTCCCCCGTTCGTCTGCTCTGCTCTCACATATATAATTTATTATTCGCGCTTATCATCTGTCGCTCACTCGTTCCCTACTCGGTGCCTAGATGTCTAAGCAAGATCGGCTGCTTGGCAGTTTCGCTCCCCGCGCAGTTTTTTCGACGGTTCGAGGAGCGCTTCGAACGAGTGTTCTCCCTCGGCTGTCTTCCCTCTTTTCTCAACACGTGGGATCGAGGTCTGCGTGCGATCTTTTCGCTAGGGACTTATCTCGAATGCGCTAAAACGCCTCGCGAAGATATCGAATTGACCTTTGGCGGTGCAAGGCAGGGGCTCTCTGAATTTCGCGATATTCTCCTTCGCCTTCATTCGACTGTCGAGACCCTGAATCGTTTACTGAACTCCCGACTTTTGATTTGCGACAATCTCCCAGCGATTTCGAATCCGACGGAAGATCGAGGGCTCGAGTCGATTCCGATCTGGATCCCAGGATCGATGTCCGGTTAGCCCTCATTGGAAAAGCGTCCGGCACGGGCTGTCCGGCGTCAATCCGGTCGGCCGGCCGCACGGCCGACGCAGATGGAAACAATCAAGGACTGCTAGAATCGGAGATTCTTCTCGATTCCATGCCACTCAAGCATGTCCGAGGCGACTCGCTAACATCGTTCAGCTTATGACTGAAGCATTACTCCAATCGTTATTCGACCTGGTAAGCCCAAGTCACAACCCCGGACAGATGCTGGCGCGAAGATTCCCCAAATAGATGCCGGAACGAGTTTTCCCTGGACAGAACGCAAGCGAACGGGCCGCATCGACCACGTCGAGCTCTCGGTCGATTAATTGACGGACAGACTCTGACGGCTTTCGGAGCACACCGATAACACGAGCGAATCTCTCACGAAGCGATTGCGTCTCGTTTGTGCGCGACTCCCCGCGAACGCATCTCCAATTGCAGTGACCGTGGGCGTGTGCCGCGTTACCAATCGCATAATAACCCTATAAATTACGAGCAAGTCGAACAAAGTCTTACGACCGCGTCGATGGCGATCACAATGCGGAATAAACATGTTCCGGATTGACAGCAGACGTCCGCGGTGCTCACGAAACCTTCGTCTCGGAATTCGTCCGCCGTCGGTTTATTATTCGACTTATTTTCCTTCATCTCATGGCTCACATCTTTTTTTTCCTTCGGAGTGAGCTCACGATCTGTCGTCAGGAAATGAAACGCAATCGGAACTCGAGGCTGTACCGGACCTCTAAACACTTCCTGCTCGCCGCGTGTGACGTGGGTTCGATCGAAATCCGGTAGGCGAGGCCCTCCGGACCTCATTCGTCGGAATCTCACCACCTCATGATCCGATATGCGAGCTATTATGCACGGATGCTGAATAGGAGATTTCAAGAACCGCGAGTCCTACACAGGCTCCTCACGCACGATTGAGTCGAACGCGGTCTCCTTACATTTCTAGGAAACGGATCGTCCCAATCCCCAGCTATCTTAATCTATGTCTCGAAGAGTTACACAAGCCTTATCGTTAGAAAAACAGGTTGCTCGAGAGAATGTGCGCAATTAGAATGCCACAATGCCTGGAAGCGCGGAATCGTCCACGGAACGCACACTTGGGTCTGGCTTCAATCATTATTCTCGTGACCTCGTTTCCGAGACGGATCCCCCGACCTCAACCCTGGTTTTGAGTTGTGAATAGTTCCACGCGGAAACTCTGTCTCCAGACTCGGCCGCGCCGCATCGGGAACCCAATAATTCCGCTCAGTCACTTCTGCTCCGATCACCCGTATTTCAGTGAGCGCTCCAAACTCATCCAGACTTTGTACACTATGTGCTTTCTTGACTCGAGTCGTTCAATAATCGCATGGGGGTACTCACTGGCAGCATGGTACGTCGAAGAGAGTATCGGCGACGTGAGCTTGCAGCAGAAAACACCTTAATCCTTCACCGTCGATGTCCATCCTGGAAAAGCGCGCATGTCTTACTTCGTCTTAAAAGGCTCGGCTCTCCTCTTGCGATTCGCCTCGCGCTAAACACCGTCTAGGCTTCTGCTAGATTCCAACTCTTTCCGACTCGCTCAAAAGCTCTAGAGCTATTTATCGCAAAATCTTATTCCTTTACTCTAACACCGCCGTCATCGCTGATGCCGCTGTCGTCATTGCAGCGACAGCAACAAAGCCGCTGCGTGACCGGTCGGCCGTTGGGTCGCCGCGCCGGTCGGTCGGGCTCCACCTACACAAACTTATCCTTATCCATTAATCCAATCCATCTCGAGACGTCAACTGTAAGCGGGGGACCCTTTTCTTTGACTCGACGCCTGTGCGCACGAACGCCGGCCTGTACAGACACTTGCAAGGCCGGCTACCAGACCCGAGGAGGCCGATCCGGCGAGGCGAGTTTAGGTCTGGCCCGGGTAGGAGAGCTCCACCGACGCGGCGCTTGACCGGGAGAAAAACTCGCTCTCGAAAAAACTCGAGAAGATCGGGTTGTCGTCGACAAATAATTGCAACGGATTTGGATCTGGCATTATTATCGGAGCGCGGAAGTGTTCCTTCTTCGAGACAAAGATCACGGTTGTACAGCGGAGCGATTCGACTTGATCCACCTTGAAAACATGGTCAAGAGCATCGGTCCATTACATTCACTCTGGAAATTCCGCGTGTCCTACGATCTCTCTCGGGTTTTTTCCCGGCCTTTCTTTTTCTTTTAATTTCCGATCAATGGGAAACAGAGAATGAGAGTGGCGGTAGACTCTCAATATTTATCACTTGACGACAGTCACTCTCCGGTGATGGGATCGAGTGCGGCGGAGAACGATCAATTAACGACGAGGATACCTCTAGCGACGAATGTTTTTTCCAACGCGATCCATTATACTCCTATCGTACATCGGCGCTTACCATTCTGAGGGCGGGAGGAATCCAACCTAGAAGAGATTCCGTGGTGTGGATGACACGAAGTCTCGAAGACAGAGGTCAGCTGACACAGATGAGGTAACGAGGCATTTGTCGTCTGTGGAGCAGTTCAATCACTAGAAGCACTGGGTCGAGGAACACAATGAGAAAAAAGAAAGCGATGGCGTTTAGACATCTCATCGGAGCCTCTGTATTCAAAAGTCACGACGCAAGGCAACCACTACGCTCATTCACGGAACGAGTCAATGAACGATTGAGTAAAAGTTGTGCGTGAGCGGCTCGTCTTTCTGTGGGTCTATCGATCCGTAAGTCAGTGGAGGCGGTGGCGGCGACGGCGGCGGCGGCCGTACGCTGGAGCGCGTATGAGTATTCAGACGTGAGCGCGTCAATGAGCGAAGTCCGCTCGAGGGGTGCAGCACGCTTTCGAACTTCGTTTTCGGCTCCGGCGAGGGAACCGAGGGGGAAACTCAGTGCCAGTGTGGACTGGTGGTAACGCGTGTACGGACGTCTGTCACTCAGTCCGTCAGTCAGTCAGTGAGTCGAGGGAAGGGAGAGACGGTCGCCGTCAACAAATGGGAGAGAATTCTATTCGCACCAAACACGGATAAGTAGCTGGGGATCTTCGGTTGCTCGGTCAACAACAGCACTTGGAGTCAGCTCTGGGACTCGCGAACGATTCTCCCGAACACGATTCTTCTCCGAGAGACGCGGGGCTGCTCTCTCGAACTTCTGATGATGCACTCGCGCTCCTTAAGGCTCCTGTCGGACTGTCGGGAATCGGTTGGAGCTCCTCCGTATTCTCATGAACAATATCCGTTGAGAAGCGTGAAAACGTGGTTGCCGTCCGTGGTTTATGCGAGCCGGTACGTGAATCCTTGCTTTCTGCCTACGGCTCTCCGCGGCTAGAAGACGATGCCCTTGCCATCTCCGCGGCCGCCGCTGTCGCAGCCAGCGTCGACGACGTTGTCGGACGGAAAGAGGAAGGAAGAATTTTTGTTTGTGCGAGTGCGTACCAGTCCCTCCGTCCGTCGGTCGGTCTATCCGTCCCTCTGCTCGTCCTCTCTCTCGAATCGCTCGGCGACGGCTCCTGACGTAGCTCGCCTGCTTTCCCTCACCTGATTCGCCTAGAAGACCCCTTTTTCAAGAACTATGTTCTACTCGTGCCTCCTCTGCTACGGCGGGAGGATGGGAAGAGGGAGGAGCTGCCATTTCCCGCACATCTTCTTAATTGTCATGGAAGCTAGGGAGGGTTTGGTTTGGCGACGCGAACTTGACTAAGAATGAAAACTCATTCGATAGAGGAGAGCATCGCCGGCTAGGGGGATCGGTTCGAAAGTTCGGAATATTCGGGTTCCAGACTTCTCATCGACCTGCGGAAGCTTGAAGACAAATGTTTTTTTGTACTAAGCTTCGAAGGGGATCGACTCTGCGGGTTCAGACCTGGGGCCGCCTCATCGTTACGGGTTCTGCAGCGGTCCCGGATGAGGGAGTTCCCAGTTTCCCGCTCGTCATGCTCCGGCAGAGAGCCTGAGTACTCTCGTAGCTCCCCCGAACATCCCGCGTAGTTTCAACGGGAACTCCGAAGATCGATCTCCAGCTCATTGATCATTCAATTTATTCCGGTGTTTTTTCTCTGAATAAGTAGAGGCAATCTGGCGGACGCATATCGTCTGCAGGTTTGCGAAATATTCAGCTCGGACATCGTGAATCATAGAACATGAGAGCGGTTGATCGCAGTCCATCGATTCGTTCGGAGAGGATCCTGATCCTTAGCTCGCGATCAATCGCACTCGAATTCATCTCACCTTCGTCCGATCCCGACTCATCCCCTGAGATTGGCGGGCCGTAAACAGTCGAGCTCCGTGGGAGGGGATGATCATGGGCTCGGCTTGACCACAGAAAGATGTCATAATGACAACTGTTGGATCTCAAATTGATGCAATCATCCAAACTCCAATGGCTCGGTCCGATCCCGTCAGACCGGGAGGGCAATGAACAATGGATCAGAAACATGATTGGAAAATTCCCTCCTTCTGAACAATTGTAAACTCTATTCCTCAAACTTGGAAAATCTATCTTTCGGGGTCGCTTAGATGAGTGGCCGAAATTTCCCCAGCACGTGGAAAACTCCGGTTCTCTCCGTAATCATAAAAGTCGAAGTCGTGTACACATAAACTGGCGTTATAGGTTTGTTATCCGATCTCGCTCCCAGAAAGCGAAATGGATATCCCCATTCAGATGACTACGCGCACGCGCCCGTCAGCGTTCGTCCAGACCTATACTCGGAGCGCGGCGTCAGTATCTAGCGATGAAAACAACCTTCACTGAGAAGGGCATTAACCCGCTGTTGTGGCTTGTGGCTCAAAACGTTTGAGTAGGGCTCGACTTTCGCCGCGGCTTCTTAGCCGGAAATTCGCGGCATTTTCAGGCTTCCATAGACTTCCTATGGGGAAACGCCCCGCAATGTAACGAAAAATCGCGGTCACGGACCGCGACGAAAGTCGAGCCCTACCTATGAGCAATGTTCGCTCCTTCTTGGAGGGAACTCGAATCGATTCTCCTTGTCGTTAGAAGACCAGGAGGAACTGGGGCAGCCTTTGCTTTCCCGGATAAAATACATTCATTAGAAGTCGAATCGCAGTCAAAACTTACATCCAGATCGGGTTGCAGAATCTATCCAGCGACATATCTGTCGGAGGTTTAGTGCTAGCCTCGGCGGTCGGGACTCGACTTCGCGCTCCAGGGCCCGGAGCCTGGCAGATCACATACCGGCCACTATACGATTGAGGTATCGCTGTATTCTCTGGGAAGCCTCGCGCTGCTCAATCTAGTTTCCGTCGTAGAGGTGATGAACGTTTGCTCCCTTCCGAAACACTGATGTTAGCTTCTGACTGGCGAATCTATGAATATGCTGGCCCGAGGATGTGCTATCGACCCTTCTCGAGATGCTGATTCGATGCTGCTGGCAACTGCGGAAATCTGCCGTTCAAGAGACTCGCCCCACGGCAGCAGCCTTGCCGACAAGTGGCAATTACCCTCAGAAGTGATCTTCGGGAATTTCCCGAAAAGTTCGAGGCTCAAAGAGGTGATGCATCGACGTTCCCCCCTTCCGTGATTCCCGTGTGATGAGCTGCAGCACGGTATGCATTGATGCAGTCGCAGAGCATGGTCTCGCAGTCATCCTAACCGATGAGGCGTCAATTTTGTCGCAGCTCTTCAACTCGTGGTATATCTAAATTTAGACAGCGAATCTTCGGAGTCCGGCTCTGCCCTCCCGTCGTTCCCCGGCGAACATCAGGTCTTCGGATCGACATGACTTGCGTCCGATCAATTTTCACCCGTAGAGGAGAGTTTCATGATGTGGGCGCACCCGGGGAGATCGCGAGCTGCTTCGACGGGTGTGAGAGACGGTCCCGAAATTCAGGGAATCAATGATTCTGACCATCTCACGCAAGTCACGCTCATGCTCGTATTTTTTGGACAAGATTCTCGCCATCTCGTCTCGAACTGACTGCCCGTCAACAAGTATAAGGAGAAGGCTACAGGGAGCGAAACAAGAGAATGTGTAGAAATTCCTTGCTCTGTCTCGCCCTCTTCGCGAGCTTCGTTCTGTCGGATGCCAGTGATCGTTTCATGTGCGATCTGATAAGCCAGATATTCGGCGGGAAACCTGTTGTCGTGCATCACTTCATCGATAGCTTGGCTTCGGTTCAGGGATTCGCACGGTGTGTTGAGCATCATCGAGGAAAACCATCCACGTTCTACACATTCAGAGTGAGCGCCCACATGGTTCCCAATCCGTCAATTTCCTTTCGAGGCGAGTCCTTCGGCGAGGGGGGGGAGGGGGGAATCCGCTCGTCATCTCGGGAGGATACTATTCCTCCGCTGAGTTGTCCTATTTTTTTCTCCCACGCACAGGAAGCCTTCCACGGTGCGTTGAAAAGAACGCTCCTCGACAGGAACGAGACCGGGGTGATTGTCTGGCCATCCTCACCCGGCCAGGTCACCATCGAGAAGATGAAATTCATCTCCCTGAACTTCTACACGTGGACCACTGTTTTCTGCTATTTCTTCAACTCGAGCGATATTCCAGCAATGTACTGGATATCCCGGTGTTGCGACGCGATTCTTATTGGGGACGGACCCCTCGAGATCGACAACAGTCACGTGGTATACGAGGACAGGCAGCTGTATCGGCAGTGTCTCATTTTTAGTACGGGGAAAATTGATGTAGCCTGCAACAGATGTGGACTCGTGACGAAAATTTTCGATTTACATGAAGCGGTGCCTCGACCGTCCGTATTCAATAGAACACTGGTTTGCTGCTCGAGGGACAAACCTTGGTTTTTCAACGTCGAGCTCTCGAACGAAACGAGCCCTCGAGTCGGGAACGCGACTGGAGGCTTCGAATTCTTATTGATGGAGGACGTACGCACGCACCTCGGCTTTGAATACTTCGTCAGAGAGTCGCCCGGTCCTCAAACCTGGGGGGCATCGAAGAACGGGACCTGGACAGGAATTCTCTCTCAGCTCGTATATCGGGAGGCTCATTTTGCTTTGGGTGATCTCAGTCTTCTTCATCCGAGGAATCTTCATCTCGATGTTACGTATCCCCACGACTTCGATGTGCTGGCGTTCGTCTCCAAAGTGGAGCTTCGCGGGCTGTCTAGTTTAGTTTTCATTCAGCTCATGGATTGCGGAAGCTGGTGGGCGCTCTTAACGATGACTGTTTCCACTTGCACGTTACTTGTCGTTGAAAGAAGGCTGAGAGGCCCGGAGACCTCCTTGTCTGAAATCACATACAAAGGCGTCGAGTTCATCTACGGGGGCCTCGTTCAGCGGACGGTGAGTTTCCCGCGGGGATCCGGGTCCGCGGCCAAAGGTTCATTGCTGACATGGAGAGCCGGACTCTTTGTCTTGGGTAGTATGCTTTCCGCATCTCTCGTTACCTTCATCGCCGCTCCCGGCTTCGAGGCGATAATCGATTCGACGGGCCAGCTTTCGAGTTTTTTGCGATCGCATCCAGAATCTAAGGTATGCACGACCTCAGCGAATTATCAGAATTTTTTCGATAAGAGCCACGACCACGCGATAACACGAGAAGCGGCGCTCATAGGGGACTACGTTTTCCACGAATGCTTGTCGTGGCCTAGTCCACGGATTGTTAGCGAAGTCGTGGTGGGCGTGAATGGTTTCTGGCTAGGCGAGAAGGTAGAGATGACGGCCGAGTTCATTGCAGCCGCTTCGCACGGTGGGACTCTGGCCACGGCCCACATCTCTCGTGATCACCTGAATATCATGCATCAGGGGATCGGCCTGCAGAGGGGTTGCGCCTTCTCGATATTCTTCCAGAACGTTGCCAGATCGCTGTTCGAAACCGGGCATATAATCCATTACAAAAAGAAACTGAATATGTACAGCTTGCCCGCGGTGACCACCGAACACACCTTCAAACCACTCGCACTATCGAGTTTGAGCGGTTTGATGACGAGTATCATGGTTTTGGAAACGGCCACGTCTTTGGTTCTCATTTTCGAACTGGCTCTGCGCCTGCGGCGGGCTCGTCGACCGCGACGAAGAATGAACGGTCGAGGGCGTTGCAGAAGAAAACGCCCAGACTGGGACTATGATAATTCCGCATGTTCTAGGCCGCGATTTTACATTTCTCCCTAGATTCTAGATAATAACCTAATATAACCTTTAATAATCCATTGTTGCGATGCGGACGTCGTCGGCGACCCGCCTTTGGATGTTCAACTGATGCGAATGTGGACGGCGGCATCAATCTTGAGGGGGTTCGCAAGGACAGATCTTATACATATTTTGGAAACGAAGGCATTTTCTGATGAGATGAGCGTGATCAAGAGTGTGCGGAACCAGAGCGATATTAGCAGGGGTTTCATAAGCGGGTGCTTTTCCCAATGATCGAATGCGTCCGCGGAATCGGAGCGACAGAGTCACGGACCTAGGATTTAGGAAGAGACCAGGCTTCTCAGCTCTCACTACGAGTCACAAGAGGATGCTTCTCTAGCGCCGCCTCAACGCCAGACCCATCGGGGTTCGCTGTTGTTTTTGGAATAAAACGCGTACTGCGCTTCAGCGTTTTCAGGCTTGTCAATCGGGGAGCTCTTGTAAGTAAGCACTGAACGAGGGAGCTCTTTCTAGGTTCCGAGGCAGCGAAGCCAAGCCGAACGGCCTAAGAAATGTGAACAGACGTGTCATACATTTCTACATCGACTCAAGTGATACTCATCTATCGAGAAGTGCCGCAGCCGACAGAAATCACTTCGCTCGGAGGATGGGGTTCCCTCCCGGGATACTTCGTCTTTCATATGCACTTCGGAGGAGAAAAACGAGACTGTAAGAAAGGGAGTGAACATCTTAAATATAATACATGACGATAGCCGAATCGGCAATGAGCAACAACGGGATTTATTTACTCAGCTCCCTTTCCCTGTGGAAGCAGGATTTTTCCGGAACTCTGAAGGTTAGTATGTACAACTTTGCTCTTGATTCGGCAGGTCGGACTTCTCGACGTCCAACCTTGTGGAAGCTCACTGATCTCCGCATCAATGGCCGCACACGGTCAAGGCAGTTTTTCAAATTGGAGTCTACAAGGGACCCACGATATGGTCCGGACCAAAGCGCTATTTCTATGGAGAATTCATATCTGTAGGGAAACATGAAGCTCCTCGTCAATTCTCGCATTCTGGAAGCCCATCTGCTATCAGCTGCTCTTCGAGTCTTCGGATGATTGCTGTTTGGAGGAGAGCTGCTGACTCGCGATTTCTGAAAGGGCTTTCTGCACTTCCGCCAGCAAGGATTCCCCGCGCATGACGACTTCTCGCAAGCGGAGAGCGGCCTCATTATTCTCGATCTCTAGCCTCTGGAGGTTATTTGCCTGCAATCAATTCAGACTTTCCATCATACAGTTCCCCCTCAAGCGAGCCATTGAGGTGGGACCGAACCATGACCTCAGGATCAGGATGAAGCTTCCGATGGAGATTGACCATCCCCCTAGGGCAGATCAGATAGGAACGGTAGAGACGGCGGGAGATGATTTCCGAGAGTCAATCAGTCGCTAACCTGCAGTTCTGGTGCTGCTTCTTCCCCGGGAAGAGAGTCGATTAGAACGTCTATATCCTTAGCCGTTCGCGCAATCATCGTGGCGAAGAGCTGTGCGTAATCTGGTGGAACGACGAAAAAACTCATCTCGACTCCGATTTTTACGAGTAAAGAGGAAATACATGTATAGTGTATCTGATGCTCCAAAACTTCCCACTGACCCTCTTGCGATGTGGCCGTCGACTTGCATGTTTTCTCGAACTCCGGAAATGTAGAAGGCTGAGCGAACTGTTGAAGGATCCCGATGCTGTTGCAGAAATTCTCAGCTTGCTAGAATTGGAAATTCGAGTCAGACAATTTCGAACGCAAGAATTCATCCCCTGGAGCACCTTCGAACACCTCAAAGTCCGGTAAGAAAAGAAATGTATAGTGGTAAAAAGTAAGCCGGTAGCCGTCTCTCCCCCTCATCCGTCACTCACCAAATTGACCAAATCTTGGAGCTGTGTCAGGCGGTCGGCCATTTCTCTCCAGAGAATTCAGGTTCTTCCTCTCGATCGCTTAGAGGGGGGTTGTCATCCACTCGTCGTGCTCCGGAGGAAGTCGGCGCCAAGGAACTCCAGCGGGAGACGGCTTTGCTCTGCGGCGCTTCTGTAGTCACACTGTCTAAAGGAACGTAAATATTTTTCTATGATCGTCCTCTCTCCCCTGCCACGGTCTGCATATATCCCAGACATGGGTACAAACTGGTGCCGCGCATTTCGGGTGGCCTCTAAGGTGTGCGAGTTCATCCGAGTCTTGAAGCCGATCGATTGAAAATTCTTGAGAGCTCAAAAAATCAACTCCAGCTGGTTTTCTCCCTTGTCCGAGCTGTGATTCCCGCGCCTGACTCGACAGATTTTCGCGGTAATTTACCCATTGGAGTAGCGTGTAACCTCCGGGAAATCAACATCCCCATGACTCGGTCGACAGTCGATTTCTACCAAGCTTTCCAAATCCAGTTGGGTTGGATTTTCTTCTACTTGTCTGTCATCGTCGTCGGACTGGAGAGGGGCTGGTTGTTCTGAATCTGCTGAAGCTCCGAATCTACAGTCCATGACGCCTTCATGCAGAAGATGTGCGTGTGAAGTCGGGATGCCGCATTTACTGAATTAGGGAATGTCGTGAATGAGCAGAACAAAGACCACGGAGGATACAGCGAATTCCTTGCCTGAGAAATCGGGAAACTCGATAGCAGAATCCCAAAGTACCTATGGATCCCTTCGAAGTACTTAAGTTCAACTACACTCCAGATCTCGGGTCGTGATGAGCTTCGAGCTCGAGCCAAACAAACCTACAGGAATCGCTCGAAATCCATCTTATCATAACTCTTGGGATCAGAAGTGTCGAACTGAAAGCTCGCGGATATGAGGGATCTCAGTTCCGACGAGGCATCTCGAAGAATTGATAATAATTATTATGAATCATTGCCGACGGCTGGATATTCTACGGAGGCGATCCTTCCACGCTGGCGAGGAATCGTCGTGTTCTCCGAAGGCTACGCGCTCTAATTTTCTTGCCCGAACCACGTCTAGGCCCTATCCCTATCCAATTTCCCTTTCCTCTACCCTGAATGAACGCCGACTGAGTGTCACGTTGAACTCTATGGTAGCGACCTAATGGAGTGAGCTTTTTTTCATGGGATTCGCTGACGACTTGCAAACTGTCCTTGTGATATTCCGCACCATGTTTGACTGCGAGTCCTCTCTTGCCTCTCAATTTCGATGCTTCCTCTATGGCGGTCGAATGAGTGCTCGAGAATAGTCTCGATTCTTGGCTGGAGAGCAACCCATGTCCTCACCTCAACCCTTGAAGCCTCAAAAACCTTGTCCGAGGATTCAATTGTCCGGGGGGGGGGGGAATGTCGGAAAATCCTTCTCATGAAAATAGGTCCAAGCATGCGATATACTCATTCGAGGATCAGTCCCATCCAGGGGAGTCTACATACGGCGGGAGCACATAGGGACCGAGTCTCTGGTGGGATATCCGTTTCGATTCTTAGGATCTCCACCAGAGAACGAACTATATGCTCCGGAAGAGGCTCCATTAAATCGATTTCCTGCTCCAAGTAATATTGGCATCCCTGACTTTCCAGGGGGGCTAGAACGCTCGAAAGTATCGTTCTCCTATTGGCGAGTTCGTGCTTGAGATTGTCGTGAAGCATCGCTCTTAAATCAGATAGTAACCTTCGCAGGTCTTGTAACAACAGGCGGAAAACTTTATCCGCATGGAGCGAGGCTGGCCGCGATTCCCTTCAGAGCTGAAACGTCGGATGCGCTGATCGGGGTGCCGTGACGCGGCGGGACGTTGTTCAGAGCACGGAGTATGAGGAGAGCTCTCTCAATCATGAGCAAAATAGAGTAGAAACGAGTTCGGCAGTCCAGAATCGGGCGCGGCTCTCTACTCTACCATCAAACGTATCCTTACAATTAGCTGTTACCTTCCGTATCTCAGCCATCAAGTTCGGTTTCTTTCTGAGGTCTCGCGCGATTTTTCGCAGTCGTTCCGTTGCTTCTGCAACCACGACTGGCGCCTCGAGGTGTACCGCATTCCCACTTTCAAGATCGTTTCCCGCGTTCTCTCCGCTTCTGCACTCAGTTCATCGTCGCTGTCGAAACCTTCCTGATCGGACAGAGGGTTGCCCAGACCGCGGTGTTGAAGGCGAGGGAGTCTCTTTCCGTGAATAAGTATCTTCACCACAAGGTCCAAGCTATATGCTGATCTGGGAGTTGCCGGGCCGTCATTTATCGATGGAGCTGACAGAGCGTCAGATGGCGATGGAGTTCGAAGTGGACTAGTCTCGGAGATCCCGTGCTTTGTTTTCAAGTATTTGACCGAAGACTCAGTGGTCCGATCTCTCTGCAGGATCTGAAATCGGAAGGGAGGCTGGAATTCGTGCTAAGAATCGGGGTCAAACAATGCGGAAGAATTCGGGAAAATTCTGGATGGGGTTCCCCAACAGAATGAAAGATTTGCTCTCAGCCCTCTAGGAGATCCCCCCTCAGGGAAGAATCTCGGCGATCATGTGCTGTGATGCTCTGGAAAACTCGAGAGCGCTGGATCAAAACCGTGCGGGCGAAGTCTCACGCGACACCATGCCTGGAGACGAAATCTTACATCAGAACAAATGTCGCTTTGGGCCCTAGTTTTCAAGACGCTGCCTTTGAACCACAGCCAAACCCAAATATTCGTCACATCTCTGAATTTTTCTTCCCCGTTGAGTTCCGAGACTTCTCCCTCCATTGCTAATATTATTATTCGATCTTCCCCCCCAGATGAGATTCGACAGAATGCGGGAGAAGTGATTTGAAGCTTCGAGACTGCCCTCTGGGATGGCCAACGACAATCGATGCGTCGCACAGCGGGACATTTTCGGTCGAAACCTGTTTTTGCGATTTTCGGTGATTTTTTTGAGAAGTATGGATGTTCTGGATAGCCCAGCTCATGACCTTGACACTTTTTTCGCTAACTCATCCCCAGCTGATCGTACCTTGACGTATTCCGCCCGGAGCCGTTGGCGCCTGCAATTCTTCACATTCAGCGCCATCCGGGCCGATGGTATTCTTTCTAGACTCCCCGTTTGTTAAAGATTCTGTCTGACCCCCTCCCTGCTGCTATCTCCCGCTTCGGGCTGTTTTTTGGCGGAAGTTTGAAAAATGACGCATCTTACCGCCCTCCGGCGAAAGTTCCTTCTCGATTGCGCGCGAATGCGAATCGATTTCGACGGAAAAAGATGCATCCGACGCAGAGCTCAACGAGCTTCCAAGCAAGCCAAATCTCGACCCGTTACAAATATGCTCAAATAATTTTCCATTGCAGCCGGAAGGTCAGATCGTACAATCTGCAATTCGAGGCGAAATGCGAATTCAGCCACCATTTTGAAAATTCGGTCGATCGTGTACAGAGCTGTGCGCCATGGGATTTTCGTCGGCGGCGGCGGCGGGCTGGAAAACGGGCGGCGGCGGCGGGCGCCGCGGCGATTTTCGGCGGACCGATGAGCCCACGGCGCGCCGCGGGATAGGTGGAACGCACGTTCGAAAGTCTTTTGATTGCGTCTCCTCATTTGTCGGGGATGAAATACTATCTGACACGTGCGATCTTCCGATGAATTCAAGTTTAATTGATCAGTCAGGGCTCTCAATGACCACGGAGCTTCGGTCCGAAACATCCCGTCTCATTCGAATGCTATGTCCCCGCATCCTCGTGCGAGCTCAGTACCTCGAACCGAATCCAATTTTTTTTCCCGTGGTTTTCTGTTACTTTTCATGAGGATTGGGCACGGCGCGCCGGCGTTCCGTCACGCCGTCGGACGCCGTGCTCGGGTTCCGGCGGCGGCGGCGGACTCCAGAGGTCGGCGGCGGCGATCGCCGGCGAATTCGTGACGCGGCGCACAGCTCTGATCGTGTAGGAGGTCGGGCTTGGTCGCGTTCGGAAGCTGAGTGAGAGCGAGATCCAGCTCCTGGACGCCCCGCACATGTGTTTCCGCAGCATCAGAGGGCCAGAGATTGGTTAGCTGATAGTGCTCCAATACATGAGAGTTAATCACTATCGCCCATCGCCTGCACGAGATCCCATCCAAAGCCTCTATTTTTTTCCGTTCCCAGAGGAGGGAGAGACAATGAAGTCTGCCGCCAATTGGCGACTTGATTCTGCATCGAAGTCAGGCTTCGGTATGGTGGGAGCGCCCCGTTGAAGTCGCCAGTCTACATCCGCCGAGTCCGAATTACATTTGTAAAGAAGCCCAGGATGAATTCACCGTACTCCCTTCAGCAAGGGCTTGAACGAGAGATCTGCGTCGGAGCTCATAGATTCATCCAAATGACTAGCTTCAAGGATTCGCGAACGGAATCATGGTCGGACTTCACCATAAACCAGCGCTGGAAAGCTGCGGCTTGAGTCCTGCAAGCTTGATTTCCCTCTAGAAGCGATTCATGGGGAACAGGACCTTAGAAAGAATCGATTACGATCATAGCTGAGGACTCGAACTCACACCTGTCGCAGAAGCTCTAGGGTACGAGACCATTTCATGGGGTTTTCAATCAGCATTCCATAGACCTCTCTTTCCGATCCTATTCCTCGAAGTGTTGGTTTTTCACACCACGCGTCAGAGAACGCTGAGCGCTATTTGGTGACTCGGTCCCGAAGTTGCTAAGAACCTCTTCGGTTGGTTACCAAAGACATGGCCTCTCAAGGCAGGATTATATACAGAATCGAATACTATCGATTCGACGACGCCGACGGCGATTGGCGGACGGGAATCTGCATCGTGAATGTTCCGTCGACACTCTCGTCTCGATCCATGGACCGGCCGCGAAACCATCTCAATTGAACGACCAGGTACCTTGTTCTGCTAATGATGCATTCGGCAATCGAATAACTCGTTTTTTAGTTCCGATGTGTATCTCCCTCAGTATTCGAGAATGATTTAGATTTTCATTATATCTAGAAATATCCGATTGTCTAGTGCATGCGCTTAGTTAGTGTCGCGGAAAGAAGGATGTAGAAGAGCTCCTTCACTTGATGGAGGAAATCTTGAGAAAGTCATGATTGTCTATCCATGTGTGAAAAATGGAAAACGAAATCATATCGATATCACCAGTGCCCGATAATGCCCGAACTCCCCATTCCGGAGGTTCTCGGAGCGAATTCTCCGGTAGCAGAGCGGAGAGAAGTTCTGAATGCACGGACTCCTCATTCTGAAGCTTCCGGAATCGAATTCTTTGGCAGCCGAGCGGACAGCGGTCCTGAATTCCCGGACTCCATATTCCGAACATTCTCGGGCCCGAATCCACCTGTGACTGAGCGGAGAGAGGTCTGATGATGCCCGGATTCCTTAGTCCGAAGATTCTGTTGAGGATTTGATCATGCGGCATCGGACCCCACAGCATCGGCCTTCTAGTTTTGCCTCATTCGGGGGTGAACGCCGTCTGCTCCGGATGATTGCTGATTAGCGGCACTCACTCAGCTTTGCGGACCGGCGGCAGGTAGTGCGGAACTCAAACCGGGATTGAGGACGCAGGGTATCGAGCTGTGACAGAAGAATCTGTGTCTGATGCTTATACCAGGGGGTTTATATACTAGTTGGGCTGCATAGACTCGTGCAGAGAAAACTGGTTCCAGAAAATAATATGGGCTCATAGATCAGTCTTGGTAATGGTAATTTATTGATCCAGATGGGTCTTCTATGTATGTGACAAGATGACGGATCAGCCTTTCATGTCAGGCGCTATCAAGCAGATCCTTGGTCTCCCTCTCCCATTTTTCTAGGATCCGTTCGGTTTTTGTCACGATCGAAGGGTCCTGTCCTTGTTGTGACAGTGAACATAAACATTCAGAGTCCCCTGGTGATTGGTGATTTACATGAATAATTATCGGATACACTGTCTCCAAGAAGATTCGGGACGGTATTCGAGGAAACGTGATTTTTCACAGAATTTTTCTTCCCAGTATTTGCTCCCTTACTGTGGGAGGCTCGGATGTGATCAGACTCTCGTTTTGATACCCCGGGCATATGTACCGAATAAGCGCAGTTTTCGTCTGAAGGCTATTCATTCCTTCTGGATGGAATCTTGGAATTCGGAGACATCCCTCACCATCCGGCAGCAGTGATTGAGGGTAGAGCAGTATAAAATTTTGATGGTCTCCGACGGACCGCTCGATCGGAACACAGTCCCAAGTAAAGATCATTAATATCATTGTCCTGATGTGTACTCTTCGATGATGGAGATAGCGAGTTTGTGATCGGCGGCACCGGCGAATGTAGGCATCGTGATCGGATATTAAGATATAAGCAACAACTGAACCAAGACGATGAACATGTTGAATCTCTCGAAATCTATGTAGAAATTTCCCCGTCGCTCGACGAAGGCGCGCGCTAGATATTGGGATCCTCCCCGTCAGCGCCTTCGATGTGTACGCCGGGAAAGTTTCCCTGTCTTTCTTTATTTTCATATGGGTCAACAGCGATAGTTCCGTTATTCTTCATCGACTTCAGCGTACTAACAAAGACTTCTCCCTGTCAATCTACAGAGAATGGGTGATTCTGAGAAACTGGAAATCGATGTTCTGTCATCGAGCACCATCTCGAAACGGATCTTCAACGAGAGCTTCGGTGCCCTGCCGACAAAGACGGAGTCTATATGGATTGGCAGCGAAACCTTGGGGATATCTGGGTAGAGTCTCTCGATCTGAATACTCTGCTTATTCTGTATTACTCTGACATCATCAAGGTGGTTACAGCAGCATACTCGGGAAAATCCACTGATTTTCGCGTGGTATTTCAGGTGGTACAAGTATCGCTGCTCGTTCGATTTGCCCGCAAGCCTCGACAAGTTCCTGTACGTAGTCGATCACTTCTGCAAGATGTTCCAGGGCGACGCCCGTATAGACGCCGATGCCCTGATGGAAGATATCGTTAGCGAGGTCGAAAGTGACTACAAATACGCGAAAGTTCATCATTTTGCTCTGGGGGCTTGGACGGGTCTGAGCCGCTTCATCGAGAGGTTCACGAGTCATAAACCTGACAGTGCCTCTAGGTCTATCAGTCGAATACAGGCTAGCTTCTTCCATGACCGGAGGTTTCTTGAGATATACTTCGAAGACAAGATCGCGGGTTCGAAGAAGAACGATGTCTACAAACTGAAAATCGCCTATGAGGACATCACGCAAATAGTTCTGAAGAGGGAGTTGAGACATCTTGACGCTTTCTATGATATAAGCCGCAAGAAGGAGCCCACGGACGTCTTCATGCACGTCAAGAAAATCGCAGCGTATAGATGGAGCGATCCGGTGAAGGAGGCTTATGAGTATTTTTTCGACGGCGAATGGGAAAGAACACCGAATTTCGGTGGGTTGAAAGGTCCAACTTACTGCGGTTGCGTTGGGACTGCTAATGCAGTCAAGCTAAGACTAGATTCTAAAATTGGTTACCCCATGGACGCCATCTATGGTCTCCTGGGTGCAGCCAGCGCACCCGTTTATTTCGCAAGCGTTGTTACGCTCGACATGCCGAAAAATCCTCAACCACTCGCCCATGACAAGGCGTCGCCAGATATTCGATGGGCTCTGTCTTGCATACACAGCCTCTCGCCTGAGATTTCTCTGAAAATGGCCCTGGAGGGGAACAGCAAAGAGATTCAGGAAACTCTCGTCGCGTGCGCGAAAGAAGACAGCTCCTCGCTCGCGAGGGCCCTATACGACATCTACTTCAACCTTTGCAATTATCCACTGATCGACATGAAGCTAGCGATCAAGGATTCCTTCTCCAGCGCAAGAAAAGGCAAAAGTTCAAGGACCAGCATCATCAATCAAAAGTTGCCCCAGGACCTTTATCTCGTGAAGAGAGCCATCGTTTGTCCCAGTAAGACCATTGTGAAACCGCCAACGGTTGTGAGGGTCAGCGCTCTACTGCGTAGTGTCGACCCGGAGAAAGTTATGTTGGTGGATGTTAGGGACGACGATGGGACGAGATTGCGTTTCAACACTCAGAATGAAGCAAGAACCTTTATTCAGGTGTCCATCGCAGAGAAAATCAAGAGGGGCATCAAAATCGCGGGGAAAACTTACTATTTCCTCGGCAACTCCAAAAGTCAAGCGGAAGACTTTAGTTTCTGGGCGTACGCGATTGAGAAGGGGGATACGGACACCATATCTTCGGTGAGGGAGCGACTCGGCATCACGGGGAATCTCGCCAGGAGAATAGCTGTTCAAGATCTCGTTTTCGCCGAAGCTCTGGGGGCTGTCTCCATCGATCCTTCGTGGGTCAGCGAAGAAAGTGAAGACGTCCCAGCTGCGTCAGACTTCAAGCATGGCATTGGCCGCATATCGGAGGCGGCTCTTCGCACGGTCGTCGAAAACTGTCATTGGAGCAGAACTCTTTGTTCGGCTATTCGCGTGATTCACGGGGGTCGTAGAGGCACCCTCGTCTACGACCCTTCTCTCGAGGGTTCGAGAATAATTTACAGGAAATCCCAGACGGTCATCAGAAGCGAAGATTCTACGCTCTATCTGATCGGGAGGAGTGAGATGAAGAATGCCGCCTTCGACAGAACCTTGATCTCCACGCTGAGCAGCAAGGCCGACGGACTCACAGAAGAGTTCTCGGTCGAGGATTTCTTGACTCCCTTGTATGAGCTGCTGACGGAGCCGCTATCCTTGTATTCGACGGGAGCTCGAGTGAAGCGAGTCGCCGCGGAGCCGGTCCTGGATCACATTTTCAGGAAAGGAGAGGATTTGTACGGATACGACAAACGCGGCGATGGTTTGTTCCGCCAAGCAGTTCGCTGCAAAGCGCTGAAGGCTCTCCGAGACCTGAAGAAGCTCAAGCAGCATATGACGAATGCGTACGAAATAATGCCCGTCGTGGATGAGCTCGGACTCTTAGAGGAAGGCGAAGTATTCATTCAAGTTTCCTCACCTGGAGGTGATCTCCGTGTTCTCAGCGGGGACCTTGTCTTGGCTCGGAAGGATGCCATGCACCTCGAGGAATTCCGGCGGGTCACCGCAGTCAATCGCCCAGACGTTGTCGGGGCGCTTGGACACTTATTCAATTGTGTAGTTTTGCCGTCCAAAGGTGGCTCGAGACCGCTGGAATTCCTGGCGAGAGAGGCGAGTTATGCGGGGGAATCAGACATCATCCTGATCGCCAGCCATCCTGATGAAGAGCCCGCGTTCCTCTTCAAGAGAAACGATCCACCGCGCTCCACGTCAATCGCCGTGGGTTCCGAAGTTGATGCCAGCTGTGATACAGAAACCCACTACTTCAATTATTTGGCCTATGTGAGCTTCAATGATTTCGAAGAAGTTTTCTGTGCTCTGGCCGACTCCCTCCCGCAACATGCGTCGTCCGAAAGCTGCATTCGGGTGGGAGTTCAACGGCGTCTCCTGGATAAGTATCGGCGCGGAGGGAGAGAGGTCGCTCCTCTTCCCAAAGTCGTGAACTTTCCTCATTTCTTGGAGAAAATCAGCGATCGGAGAACTTATTGCTCAGCACGTCCTTTGGGACATATCTACCGGAAAGGGAGGTTGATCGATACTGAATACTTCGAAGATACGCAAATGATGACTGAGGATCTAACCTTCCAACATGAGTTGAGAGTGGAAGGCTCCGAAGCGTTCGCTGAAATCGCGGCTCGGGACATTCGGCAATTCAGGGGAGACCTTGAGGGAATCGCGTCGTTGTATGGGATCTCAGTCGACGAAGTTCTCACCGGTTAGTATTCAAAATCGCGCGATGAGACTTATTCCGCGCGATGAGATTGAAGCGCGATGAGCACTTGAATTTTCTCCATCTCATTATGGTCGCTCTCGCAGGTACGATCTTCTCGGACCGTGGACAGCACTCCTCGAATGAACGCAGGAGTGATATCGAGGCCGCAGTGAAGCTTCAAGTGAAGCACTTGGCCTTAATCTGCAGACGAAAATTTAAAAAAGGCATGGAGAAGGCTTCGGAGCTTGAAGTTCTGCAGAAAATATCTGCTTACTATGTTGCGTCTCGAGACTTCCCTAAGGATGGGGGCTATGCGTTCCCCTGGATGCTTCCAGATCTCATGCAAGGTCTCATCGCGCATTTAGACCCGCAGGTGAGTTCCTCATGATCAAACCCCTGGAGTGATCTCTCGAAGGTCGAGGTCGATTCCAATGACGATTCCTCTCCTCTCTCCCTCAGCCTCCGCCCATCCCGGAGTCGGAAGTTTCGAGGAAGCTCCTCGCGTCCGTAGCTGGCTGCAGAGCTCCAAAGCTCACAACGCTCACGAATATCCACACTATTCTAGACAGGTGAGGTCGGAGTGCCTTCAAGCTGGATCCAGTCCACATTCTGCTCGAGGACTGAGTTTTCTGGAGCAGCTTTCTCGTTTTCAGATGGATACGGGTGAACAAAAACATATGCGCCGTTTCTCGCGGAGACTCAGAATACTTTAGCGACAAGTTCTGTGACTTCGTGGAGCAAGCTCACGGAAAAGCCTTCGAGAAACTCGTTGGTCCCGAGGACAAAGTAAACTGTTCTCCCCAGCTAATCAACAACCCTCTAGGTCTGCTGGCGGAAACACTCCGGTGAGTCTGAATCCCCTGCCCGCATCGACTCGAGATCGTCCTACAACAATCATCACCCCGTCGCGGGTTCTAACGTCGTATCTTCCTCCGTAGGCACATGTTGTTCGTCTCCGCGAAAGACACCGATAAGAAGTTCGGGAGGGAGCAACTGTTCATGATGTCCCTGCAAACGCTGCTGTTGAACACTCTGGCGAAGATAACAGCTACCTGTTCGCTCCGAAGCTTGTTAGATCCCACGAAGATTCTCCGAGATACGGTAAGCAATCATTTTTCGTAGTCTAGACTCCACTATCGATTCTTCTCCGGACTTCTTCTCAGAGGGCCGAGCTTGCTTTCCAGCTTGTGAGTCACCGGATTCTCCTACCCTTGAGCATGAAAGACGACAAGTATATCCGGGCGACTCAGGGCGATCTACAGAAGTGTGAAACGAAGCTTTGTGAAATGACCGGTTGCCGCCGAGCCAGGATACGATTGGTGCCCAGACTTGAGACATCAGAGTGTGATTACGAAGAAATCATAGCCACGGGCACGTGGTTCACTGTCGCCAATCTGGAATACGTCGTCCTACAGCCTGACTACCGAGCGATTCTCATCAATATATTCAGAAACAATGAGAGGTTGGGTCTGCAGGCTTTGCGACTTGCTGATGAATAAAGTATCTGCTGCTCAGAAGACTCCAAAGTGCTTTCCTGTGAGCTGCTCGAGGGCTTCTTACACACAGAGCCCACGCCGGAGTCATGCAGTACACGAGCAGAATGTATTTTGGCCTGATTATTTCTCGTTCGAAGCATTCGCCCTCCGTGAATAAACGGCTGAGGCTTAACGCTTTACCGAATAGAACATCGATCATACTCAAGCCACATGATCCATTCGATCCGAACCACTGATTTCTCAGTTGAATGATGATTAAGAATGATGGCATTGAACATCGCGGATATCCTACAATCTTACATCTTGGTCGTGCGCACGTCGATGATGTTTCGACATGTCGACGGTCGACAGCGGCAGCCGGGAACTCCTCTTGGGGGCGAGGCTGCTCCATGTGACCTCGATCCAGCTCGAAAAGATGTTACATTCACCAGGCTGTTGGCAACCTACTTCAGGCACGCAACCTAACCGGTCCTCCGGGCTCGGGTGAGCCGAAGAGATGCGAATTTGTGGAACAATGTTCATAACCATGTCGACCTCACCATATGTTTGTAGAAGGATGTTAAATGCAGAGAATGATCTTCACGAAATCGCGGCTCTTGAAAGTCTTTATTATTATCTGAGGGTTATTTTCACCGCATATCTCGATGCCGAAGTCAGACATCTCTGTGGAGGGATGATGATGGCCCTGGAGTCCGACCACCACAAAGCTCCTCGAAAATATCTTCGTTCGCCACGCATATGGTCGCCCGTCGACCATGGAGGCGGAATCCATGCATTGCGAGAGTCCGGTCGAAATCGCTGTAATTTTTCATTTTTAGAAAATAGCAAGAAACTTCGTTCGCTCGTCTCGTCGGCTCGTAGATATCCTCCAGTTTGACGAACTCCAGGACATCGCAGATGTGTTCGGGTCGAACCCTAAAATTCAATCCGAGGACAACCAATATCAGATCCGACGGTCTCGGTTCCGCGCGACCCGCCAGAACCGGTCCGCAGCGTGGCAGATTATATCGCAATGGCGGCATCCTAGACTCGGCGAATGGGTGAGAAATGGTCGCCCGGCAGAAATCAGCCTTCGTCGCCGACTGGACATACACTCGCGCCTCCCCGAAAAATGCACCGTCCAATTCGAGGGCCAACTTGGCGTCCCCGACGGTACCAAATTTCAGAAATATGGCTGGGTGATCTGGCTTCTCGAAAAGGTACCTGATTCTGGCATTCCGCAAAGGCAGGCCGAAGAAAAAGTGCTTAATGTCGAAAAGGTTCGGAAGATCCGAGAAACCCCACAATTTCACGTATCTGATGTCTTCATGGGATTCGACCGTCGCATCCAACGGCGAGAGGCTCGGGAAACTGGGTGGGATCGCCCCGTGCGTTGTTCCTGCGTCGGACACTCCGCTCTTGCTCGTCCTAATAAGCCCCGAAATCAGTCGATACAAATCATCATGGGTCAGGGCGCGCGACCATTCGCCCTCTGGTCCGGTACAGGCGGATTGCTCAACGATCGAATTCACTAATCTGTCGAGTTCGCTTCGCAGCAGTTCGATAGTCCTTGCCGGAAATCTGAGATTATTTTCAGCACGACATGAGCTTGACCCTCTACTCCCGTTCCGGACAGATGCTGACAGTCTCTTAACTCGACGTCCAGGGGTATCGCGGCGTCTCCTCGGACGTATTTCTCCCTGTTCACTGCTAGAGTCGCCATCATTCGAATCACCAAGGAGCCTCGGCGAAGCACTCGCCGCGTCCGAGGTACTCTCGGGATAAGCGTGGAACTCTTCAAAACTGCTCATGAGAATACTGACCCGACATCCACGGATTTTCTGACCAGTCATAGCGACTGCGCGGTTACAGTCTTCAACGCACGAGAAGAAAACGAATGCGACGCTCCTGGACCTGGTCCCCAGAATGTTCACCGCGCGTGGAGGAGCGACCCGATTGAAGAAGTCCCTCACATCGCTAATGAAAGCGTCTTGGGGTAGGTCCAGCATTTTAACCACGTTGTCGTCCATCTCGTTCGTTCGGCTATGCTCGCGAAAGTGAAGCTCTTAACAGGAATCGGAGTGTCACTTGGATTCCATCCAGAGCATCGACCCGATGCGGCTGGGAACTGCGGCGGCCTGTCCTCTTCGAGCTCGGCTCAGAATGAGCGGGAACCCGATGACGCGGATGGTTTCGTGCACTTGAAGCAGGGAGGTGCGCGGTCTTCTACGACACGTCTGGACACTTCTATGGCGAGGCGTCGCGGGACGTATACAATACTCGGTGTACTGGTTCGACGGCTTGAGGTATCGGAGGTCGTCTTGAAACTAAAAATTAGTGCGATTCTCTCCGACCGATGTTCACGCAGTTCGCTTCCGAAATCCCAAACTTAGAGAGAGCATGTGGTCCTCGCATTGATGTTGAGCGAGAAATGTTCATGAATCTCGCAGCTCATGCACATGAGGTTCGGACCTGCCTCTGACTCGTGACGAGAAGGGAAAACGGTGGAAACTTCTGGCGTGACATCAGCGATGTGCCGAGCTGCGAGACTTCGAGCGCGAAATTCCCACAGTCAAAAGTCGTATCAGAAATAGTGATGAAAGAGGAAACCATACCGAGAAAACTCATTCTTCCGAGGCCTTCTCCATCAAGCGCATAAGAGGAAGGGCTCCACACTTTGCTCGGGCGGCCTAAATTTTCGTTACCCACGAAAAACGGACGGGATGCTATGGCGAACGGGTAGCTCTACTGAACCAGCGTAGTGCGTTCAAGAGGATCCATCGAGGGGCGGTCGAAGCCGCTCGAGCCCCGCGAATCTCACGGGTCTGATCCGCGAATCCGCCAGGAGGCCTAGTCGAGCTCGAGAGGAGTCGGGGAAGTCATCTAGAGTCAAATGTGTTGGCTGGACTTCCGAGAAAACCTTCCGCCTCGAAGTACCATTTGGCAGCTCTCGATGCCGCGTGAAGAAATCGTGGGGAGTTATCCCAGCATCAAGTCTTGTACCAGACTTCAGCATCCCGTTCATGGCATGCGAGCCCCTGGGAAGACCCACCGAGTCATTTGCAGTTCTTGGTGACCTCTACCTGCGACCTGTGCGAAACAGTTTGTAAAATATAGCTTCCGAATTTTTCTCTCGGCGCTGATCACTCTCGACGGAAGCTTCGGAGGGAAAATTCATTGATTGATTAGTTGACTATAATCAAGATAGATAATTATCTATTGACCCTTCGTGAAAATATTCAATTCCGAACGGAGAGAGACCCTAGTATACGGGGCGATGGTTCAGCTGGTCATTGATGATCGCGGTTTTGCGACTTGGCCGTCTGGGTTGTCAATGACGCATGAGACGCTCCCCGTGGAATCAACGAGACACTCCCCGACCCGGCAACCTATTTCGCCAGCGAAGTTTGTCAAGATATTCTCCAGCTCCAAAATTATTGCGGAACGACAGTCGAGAAATGAATCTCCGTAGCACCATGTCAAGACCATCTTTCAAGCGAGCTGATTTTGGAAGCCAAAGAACCGCCTTGAATATTTTTTGCTTTCGTCAACGTTCGTCCTCGAATGGAACAAACGGAGAGTGACCAATAACGAAACTTCCGGAGACTCCATTGGCCATTCGGCAAATAATAGTGTATGTCGTGGCGCGAGACCCAGCGTGTTTCGTCGGTGGCTCCGAGGGATGAATACCATGCTTTCCAAACGACCGGGTTCGTTCTGTATTCGACTTCATGTATTCAGTTCGAAGAATTCGCTCTCGGTGACAAAGTCGCTCCGGGAGGTGAAAACTCTGCCGGGGCTTTTCTACCTCGCCATCAGCTGAATAAAGATTATAAGGGCTCGGACCATCACCCACCTAGCCTCGGACCAGCGTCGTCATGACTTCAGGAACTCGAGCCGAAGGAAGGAAACCGAACGCCCGATCACGCCCATTCGTCCGGGAAGATCATCCGCATCATCTTGTCCACGTACAGCACGTAGCAGGTATTATTCGAATGGAGGCAGCGGGCGATCACGCGAAGGTAGGTGTGACGGCTGTCAATTTTCAATGAGCTGCGCAAGGCAGTACAATTCGACTCTCCGGGGTCCTTAGCGGTCCTCTCGGCATCGATCTGCACAATCGCGAATATTGCATAGTCTCACCCTTGATATCAAAACCTTCTTCGTCTGCATGAATCGTGTTGAAGTTACTAGAAATAATCTCGAATGTTGAATATTATATTCATGTTAGGCATGTAGTTCCGGGATACTGGACCGGGGCGAAATTCTAAACCGAGTCTTGTCCAGTATTTCCGGAGAAGATGGGACTTACCGAGAAGCTTGAAATCGACGTTCTGTCAACGGACAAGATCTCGAAGAAGATTTTCAACGAGAAGTTCGGAGCTGAACCGCCGAGTACAGAGCTCATCCGGATTGAGAGCGACACCTTGGGAATATCGGGGTACGTACTTCTACACCTGAAGTTCTCATAACGAGCGCTATCGAGTCGGAATCACCAATGAAATCGGATGAGCCCGCACATTTCGGGAAGGCTGCTGATTTCTGCATGAACATTCCAGGTGGTACAAGTATCGGTGCTCTTTCGATTTACCCCCAAGCCTCGACAAGTTCCTGTACGTTGTTGACCGCTTCTGCCATTTGTTTGAAGGCGACGCGCGCATAGACGCCGATCCTCTGATAGAAGATATCGAGGACGAGGTCGAAAGTGAGCACAAGTTCGCGAAAGTCCATCATTTTGCTCTGGGGGCTTGGATGGGTCTGAGCCGCTTCATCGAAAGATTCTCAAGTCAACGAAATGACAGCGTATGCAGGTCAATCAGTCGCATCCAGGCCAGTTTCTTCTATGATAGACGTTTCATGGAGATTTACTTCGAAGACCACATGGCAGGTCACAAGAGGCACGATGTTTACAAACTGAAGATCGCATACGAAGACATCACGCAAATCGTTATAAAGAAGGAGCTAAGGAATCGCGACGCCTTCCACGGGATCAGCAACAAGAAAGAACCCAAGAGCTTATTCTTGCACGTCAAGAAAATCGCAGCCTACAGGTGGAGCGACCAAGAGAAAGAGGCCTATGAGTACTTTTTCGACGGTGAATGGGAAAGAACGCCGAATTTCGGCGCGCTGAAAGGTCCAACTTACTGCGGATGTGTGGGAACTGCCACTGTTGTCAAATTCAAACTGGATCCGGAATCCACGAGAGGAGAGAATCGCATGGACGCCATTTATGGTCTTCTCGGAGCAGCGAACGCGCCCGTGTATTTCGCGAATGTTCTGACGGTCGGTATGCCGAAAAATGTCCAACCTCTCGCCTGTGACAAGGCTCCGCAGGAGATACGATGGGCTCTGTCCTGCATACACAGTCTCTCGCCTGAGATTTCTCTGAAGATGGCTCTGGAGGGGAATAGCAAAGAGATTCAGGAAATCCTCGTCACTTGTGCGAAAGAAGACAGCTCTTCTCTCGCGAGTGCCCTATACAATATCTACTTTAATCTTCATAACTATTCATTGATTGATATTGAGCTGGCGATCAAGGATTCCTTCTCGAGCGCAAGAAAAGGCAAAAGTTCAGGGACCAGCATCATCAATCAAAAGTTGCCCCAGGACCTTTATCTCGTGAAGAGAGCCATCGTTTGTCCCAGTAAGACCATTGTGAAACCGCCAACGGTTGTGAGGGTCAGCGCTCTACTGCGTAGTGTCGACCCGGAGAAAGTTATGTTGGTGGATGTTAGGGACGACGATGGGACGAGATTGCGTTTCAACACTCAGAATGAAGCAAGAACCTTTATTCAGGTGTCCATCGCAGAGAAAATCAAGAGGGGCATCAAAATCGACGGGGAAAACTTACTATTTCCTCGGCAACTCCAAAAGTCAAGCGGAAGACTTTAGTTTCTGGGCGTACGCGATTGAGAAGGGGGATACGGACACCATATCTTCGGTGAGGGAGCGACTCGGCATCACGGGGAATCTCGCAAGGAGAATAGCTGTTCAAGATCTCGTTTTCGCCGAAGCTCTGGGGGCTGTCTCCATCGATCCTTCGTGGGTCAGCGAAGAAAGTGAAGACGTCCCAGCTGCGTCAGACTTCAAGCATGGCATTGGCCGCATATCGGAGGCGGCTCTTCGCACGGTCGTCGAAAACTGTCATTGGAGCAGAACTCTTTGTTCGGCTATTCGCGTGGTTCACGGGGGTCGAAGAGGCACCCTCGTCTACGACCCTTCTCTCGAGGGTTCGAGAATAATTTACAGGAAATCCCAGACAGTCATCAAAAGCGAAGATTCTACGCTCTATCTGATCGAGAGGAGTGAGATAAAGAATGCCGCCTTCGACAGAACCTTCATTTCCACGCTGAGCAGCAAGGCCGACGGACTCACAGAGGAGTTCTCTGTCGAGGATTTCTTGACTCCCTTGTATGAGCTGCTGACGGAGCCACTATCTTTGTATTCGACGGGAGCTCGAGTGAAGCGAGTCGCCGCGGAGCCGGTCCTGGATCACATTTTCAGGGAAGGAGAGGATTTGTACGGATACGACAAACGCGGCGATGGTTTGTTCCGCCAAGCAGTTCGCTGCAAAGCGCTGAAGGCTCTCCGAGACCTGAAGAAGCTCAAGCAGCATATGACGAATGCGTATGAGATAATGCCCGTCGTGGATGAGCTCGAACTCTTAGAGGAAGGCGAAGTATTCATTCAAGTTTGCTCACCTGGAGGTGATCTCCGTGTTCTCAGCGGGGACCTTGTCTTGGCTCGGAAGGATGCCATGCACCTCGAGGAATTCCGGCGGGTCACCGCAGTCAATCGCCCAGACGTTGTCGGGGCGCTTGGACACTTATTCAATTGTGTCGTTTTGCCGTCCAAAGGTGGCTCGAGACCGCTGGAATTCTTGGCGAGAGAGGCGAGTTATGCGGGGGAATCAGACATCATCCTGATCGCCAGCCATCCTGATGAGGAGCCCGCGTTCCTCTTCAAGAGAAACGATCCACCGCGCTCCACGTCAATCGCCGTGGGACCTGCAGTAGATTCCGGCTGTGATATAGAGACGCACTTTTTTAACTATTTGTCCTACGTGAGCTTCAATGATTTCGAAGAAGTTTTCTGCGCTCTGGCCGACTACCTTCCGCAACATGCGTCTTCCGAAAGCTGCATCCGAGCAGGAGCCCAACAGCGCCTCCTGGACAAGTATCGGCGCGGAGGAAGAGAGGGCGCGCCTCTCCCGAAAGTTGTCAAGTTCCCTCATTTCTTGGAGAAAATCAGCGATGGGAAAACTTATTGCTCAACTCGTCCTCTGGCTCACATCTACCAGAAGGGCAGGGCTATCGACACCAAATACTTCGAAGAAACACTAATGATGACTGACGACGTAACCTTCCAGCCCGAGTTACAAGTCGAGGGCTCCCAAGTTTTTGCTGAAGTCGCGGAACGGGATATGCGTTCATTCAAGAGGGAGCTCGGGGGCATCGCTGCCTTGCATGAAATCTCAGTCGACGAAGTTCTCACCGGTTAGTCTGAGAGACCTGATTGGGCGCAGAGTATTCGCGGAATCCCAACTTGGTTCAAACCGGAGCCGGTCATTTAAAGCACCAACCCCTCTTACAGGAACGATCTTTTCGAATCGAGGTCAATACTCCTCAAGTGAACGTAGGAGTAATATCGAGGCTACAGTGAAGCTCCAAGTGAAGCACTTGGCATTGATCTGTAGACGGAGGTTCAAGAAAGGCGTGGAGAAAGCTTCGGAGGTCGAAGTCCTGCAGAAAATATCTGCTTATTATGTTGCGTCACGAGAATTCCCGGACGGTGGGGGCTACGCCTTCCCGTGGATGCTGCCAGACTTGATGCGAAACTTGATCGAGCGCTTGGAGCCGAAGGTGAATTCATTATCCTATGTGTTTCATTAGAGCATTTATAATCCGAAGGCGATGATCGTTCTAAATGACAACTTATCCCCGCCGAAGCGGCCACTAGTTCCGGATTCTGAGCTTTTGGAAAAGCTCCGCGCATCGCTAGCTGATTGCGGAGATGTGAAGCTTGCAACGCATGCGAATATTGGGAAAATTTTAACAAAGTGAGTTCACGTCGGACGAACCGTCTTTCACTCCAACCCACTTCGAGTTCATTCGGAAATGAATTTTCTGAGAGAGCGCTCCTGTTCCCAGATGGTATCGTGTGAATCGAAATGTCTTCCCCTTTTCACCCGGCGACTCAGAGTACTTCAGCGAGAAGTTTCGTGACTTTGTGCGGCAAGCTCACGGGAAAGCTATCGAAGTTTTCGCAGGCTCTGAGGAGGAAGAGAATTGTTCTTCCCGAGTCATGAGCAATCCCCAAGATCTACTGGCGGAAACATTTCGGTGAGTGAAGTTTTGAGAAGGAATCGCGAGATTCCCTTTATCACAGTCAGCGAACACAGCGTTGTGTCTCTCATCCGCAGGCAATTTTTCCTTCTGTCCGTCGAGGAACCTATAGTGAAGTTCGGAAGAGACCAATTATTCATGATGGCCCTGCAAAGTCTGCAGTTGAATACCCTGGCCCGTATCACAGCCACCTGCTCACTCCGGACCTTGTTGGATCCGAAGAAGATAATCAGGAATACGGTAATCAAAGTAGACCCACCATTCACGTTCTAGTGTTTTCTGTCTCCCTCGATCCTCGACCGTAGAATCGTCTTACACGGTCGGCTCGCCTCGACCCTTTTATGATTTCGTCAAGAACGACTTGGGTGCAGCGAGGCGAATGAATTTAAGTGGATCTCCTCAAGTCGAGAGGCGAGTTCAGAACTGAACTCCTTCGAGAGTTGCATCCGGAGAGTTCTGATAGTCGATGTCGCTTTCCAGATCGAAAGCAAACGTATACTGCTACCCTTGGACATCAAAGACACCAAATACATACGAGCGACCGAGAGCGATCTAAGGAAATGTGAAGCGGAGCTGTGTGATTTCACCGGTTGCTGCCGAGCGAAAATACGTTTGGTGCCCAGACTCGAGACTTCGGAATGTGATTACGAGGAAATTATAGCCACTGGGACTTGGTTCGCTCTGGCGAATCTTGAAAACGTCGTTTTACAGCCAGAGTTCCGATCGGTGCGTCTCAGCATCCGGCGGAATGAAGAAAGGTTGCGCCTCCGCGATCTGCAAGCAAATGACAACTGACGAATAAAGTATCATTCGTCGAGAATTTTGAAATCTTCCTGTCCGACTCATCTCTCTCGGCGAATGAGAACATATGTACCGCTAATCCTTTCCATGACTACGAAGCCTCTCTCCCGCCGCAGTCGGTAGTGGACTTCTTTCAGATCTGGATTCTCTGTCTGCTAGATGTCTCTGTTTCAGACGTGGTCACGGTTATGCCAACAGGGACTGCAATTAGGTTGGATCCTTGGGTATAGATCCTGGATATATTGAAGAAAAAATGAGGCCGAGAAAGCCGATCGGACTGTCGTTCAGTGGATCGCGAAGTTGATAAGGCTCTCAATCGCAAAACCAAAGGGTGTCCCGTTGTTGAGTTCACTAGCGACAGGGAAAACTTGAGCAGCTCGAGTTACGCACGCGAAGTCATACGACTAGCACAGCGGCTGAAGAGTAGTCGGGGAGGAAACCCCCGATTGGAGACTTCCGGTTTCTGGCGACGGCGGTGAATAATTAGTTTCGAAGGCCGCTTCTGAGGAGCTCGGGGGAGCTTTCTGAACTCTGCTGTGATTGTTTCCTTTGCGGAATGCATCGCGATGACGGAAGACTCATTGTTTGTTCGTCTGTCTGATAGAGTGATGCCATTTTGGTATTCATGAAAACAGACTCGTTGATGAAGCTGTTAACAGAGTAATTACGCGAATAAGAACTGGCGTCGAATCGGCGAACTCACGCTGTGCCCGGGTCGAAGCATTCGGGAATGAGTCCGGAAATTCGCTCGGCGCCAATTGACGATTGTGGGGAGCTCGGATATCATTGAAACATGCAGTAGACTCCGCTGAATCGGATCGCATCGGGATAGGCCATTCATGTTCGGTAGAGCTGAGGACACGACGGAGCACGTCGATCAGGAAAACATTTCTCGGAAGAATATATAGGGGACGATGTTTCTCGACCGTAATCGGCGGCGCGGAAACGAACACAGAAGAACTCTCCTAGAATAGGAATTTGATTGTTGGAGTCGATGGACTATTGTTCGATGCGGAGCCGGACGGCAAGGTCGCAAGTTCCAAACAAACAGTCTAGCGAAAATTGTTCACACTCGAGAGATCGAGGCTGACGGCTCGAGTCGCCCTCCGAGACGGACATGATGCTAACGATCGACCTGAATGTGCGCGAGTCGCGATGGAGCAACAGGCGGGGTTTCAACCCGACTCGTTTCGGGAACGATACCTCACAATGAAGGGAACATCGATCCTGAACAGGGAAGCACTTGTCTGAGAGAGCGAGAAGGTTCTCGAGGCAGGATTCGAGGATTCTGATTCTGCTCTGAGTGAGCAGTGAATCTGACCGAGCGGACAGGACAGGGTCCACTGATTCCTTTCATAACTTGGCTGTGGGCGCGATGATTCACCCACAAATATAGGTTCGCAAGGTCGAACCCCCGGGCTCTGAACGATGGAACCCACGCATGAAGTTCTCAATGCGAGCCTTCTCGTCCTCGGAATCTATACCCACGATAATGGAATGGCGAAAGAATGGAAGTTATGAGAACTCCTAGAACCCCGATTGCTGTCTTGAGCTGACGTTGTGGATGAATGCCGGGAGATCTATAGGATCGATCGAGCGAGTCGCAAAAAAAAGATGCTCCGCTCCGACATTGTCTCGTAATTAACAGCATTTATTCTTTGGCATTCATCCGGATGGGCGTACCTAATGTATATATTTATATAACACGGACTCAATTACTTAGAAAAAAATTCTCCTCTCCAGCCGGGCAGTGCACAATCTGCAGATTGTCCGACCGACCGATTGGTGGCTGACTGTCGTGGCACCTTCCCAGCGCATAGGGTAGGCCCGTTTCCATTATATGGTAAGAGCAGGTCTGCTCAGCTTCAGATTTGTTAAACATTGACAAGCAGACGCGGGTCACATATTTCAATGACTGGCTGTGCTCGATTGGGGTTTGTTCGTCGCCATCGGAGACACAATCATGAGAAAGTCGTCTCTTTGGGCTTGAATTCAACGTAAGGATATCGAGTCACTATCGAACTTCTACCTATGGCGTCAAACAATGTTTTCCAACAAGACTTTCCACAGCCCTGCAAGCGCGCGCAGGAGTCGAAGGCATTTGCCTCGAATTCTCACGATACTGGATCTGGGTCCGGAAATGCCTGTGTACATAGAAAAGTAAGATCTCTGAACCACAATGAGGGTTCGAGTGAAGTCTTCCCCATTGACTCGAGCCAGGAAGCAGCCTTGGATAATTCGCGGAGAGACTAAGGCAGGGACGTGAAGGATGGAAGGAAGGTGAGATGAATAAGGGTATGAGAAGACTCGGTAAGATGAGATTTCAGCTTAGGAAAGACTTCATTGATCCAATAAGGCTCTCGAATCTCCGGCCAGGTATCAGCAGACCGTTGATCGGCTCAAGATAAGTCTTGAGTAGCGACTGAGTAAAAATCGCTCGACGAGAAACGTATCAAGACGCTCCTCGCTCAGGATCATGGAACTTTAATTTCGTGGATCCACCGCTTGATTGTACTCTTTGTGAATCGATTGATCTGTTTGGATGACTGATTGAATCCATGAGGAATAACAACAAGAATGGTCTTTTCTTTGGTTAGTGAATCTAGAGTATGTAGATGTAGAAACGCTGGACGTCAGTCTATCGTCGCTTCGAAATTATGGGAGTATTGATTTACAAACACGGATCGAATTCTCGCGGATTTTCGCTCGAGACTCCATCTAGTTCCTGACGGAATTGAGATACCTATGGGTTTGAATCAATCGAAGCGCTCAGGACGTGGCCGCCGTGGCCTCTAATTCTTTGGCTTTCTCCTCCTGAATGACTTTGATCCAATGCGCGTAGTTGTCCTGCGAAGAGAGGAAAAAATGAGTTTGGCTCGAGAAAAAATGTCTGTCCGGGATTCGACAAGCGGTGGTGGCCTCAAGCGACGGGAGCCGTGCCGATCCTCCTAAGCTGACAGCTCTGTACGCGGCGAGATGTCTTATTCAAGCAAGTCTACGATCAATCTCAAGCTCCAGCTCGGGATGGCCAACATCGTATCGTTGTTGAATTATTGTCCAGACCTACCTACCAGCCAAATGGATAATCAGGGAGCTCGCTATTTGGCTCGAAGGCTGACTAAGGAAGACGGTGGAACTAGCACAAAAAGCCGGAAGCCAACGGAGCGGAGAATAAGTTATTCATCGGGCCTGCAGGCAGAGCTCATTTCAATCAGCAGTGTGTGCTCACCTGCAGATGCTTAATCTGTATGCACTCTACACGATTATTGGCGCTGGCCTTCACGCCGTCTTTCAGGTCCATCGAGGCATTCGGGTGGTTTCCTGTAATAGAAGTTGCACTCAGGGATAGTTTCCCAAAGCGAGGCCTGTCCCGCACGAAATTAGAGGGGGCTCCGATTTTCCAGAGCGAAAATCATCGGAATCGGGCGACAAGTGGATTCCGAGATCGAGAGGAGGTGTCGATGGTGGGAAAAACGGGGAATATTTGGCGTTTCAGACTCCCAATTTAATTAAAGACAGACACTTGCGATAAGTTCCTGTGGAGACGGAAAACAAAACTTATCCTATCCGACAGAGATTTGGACTAACCATTCGTCGCCTGTTCGGCCGTGACCACCCATTTTCCGGGAAGAAGCCCCGCAACAGCGTAAGCGTTACACAGGGGAGCGACAAGGTGATTTATGAAGGATTCTTGCAGTTTCGGCAACTGCGGTTTCGAGCGATCCATGAACGGTGATATAGGGAGTCCGAGGTGAGCTTCCTCATCGCCCTGTTCATAGAACTCCTCACAGATCCGATCGGTCCAACGAACGTGCAGGTCGTGCCTCTTGCACGGTCCATTGATGTCGGAGAGCTTTATTGCCATCTCCAGGACGAGCAAGCGATCGGCTTCGTCGTTCCAATTGATGCCGGAACTCTCTTCCAAGTTGGTCTGGGAATTAAATTCATGTTAATTCTTCGATGCGGCATCTCCCGGAGGAGACCGGGAGGCCTCTCGCGATTGCATATGTCTGAAGATTCGACGGAGGTCGTCTGGAGGGTTCTCTTTCCACAAAATTCGAGAGGCTTGGAAAACAGACGATAGATCTCCTCCTCATGCCCAAAGGTGGCGGTTCGGAGCCGCCTGAGGTATGAGAGGTTGGACGATTCATTCTCTCACCTTCGCGGTGAATTCGGCCAGAACTTCGAAGTGCCGTTTCAAATCTGTAGCGAGAATACACTCTATGGCCACGTAACGAAGTCTCTTGAATTCAGCGGTTTCGAGATTCTTCAGGAAGTTGAATTCCGGTTTGGAGAGGAGCAGGCCCCACGCAGCCGCTGCGTGATGATTCTCGAGGACGGACCTGGACCAATTGATTGAAGTCATTTGAAGACATTCTTCCCATCCTATTGGCTTACTGGGAATTCGGGCTAGTAATTGCCATGCAATCGCCCCTTCGAAAGATCTCCCTAGGCTGGAATAATTCATCGAACCTGTCGTTGTAGAGAATGGCCAAGGGAGCGTGGGTCGCAACAATGAAAGCATTCGTTCTGCCTGGATGCTCGAAATCGTGCATTGCGGCGGCAACATACAGAGCCAATAACTCGAGGGGCGGAAGATTCGACGCGATGATTCCATAAGGCAGGGCGTTTTCATCTGTGAAAATAATAAACGAGCGATGGTCAATACCAATTTTTTAAATCACAGCTTGAATAAAACATCCCGACTGTGATTCCGGAGGCTCGATCTTGATTCATGAATTATTAATCTTCTCAACGCCTGTTCAACGTCGGTTCGAGATTCTCCACGGAGGAGAGATAGCAGCCAGGATTCGACAATGAACCTATCCTTCGTGTGTGAAATTCATTCTGGCGGTCAAGCCGAATTCCTGAGAGCCGCAGCTCCGAGACCGCATGGAGACCGTTCGTGAGCGTTGCGAGTCTCTCAGCTAATGGGTCGCGACTGATTGCGCTCCCGGGATGAATTCGTACCTTCCTGCTCGCTTTGATGATCAAGCGCAACGCTGAGGTCAGAGATAGTGGTTTGCTCTAGGCCGGCAACCTGCTGTGTAGTCAGATAGTACACCCCGTGCAGTACGTCGGCTGCGTGCATCTTATTGTGATACGGGTTGTCGCGGTAGCCGCACTCCAATGCGTGCAGGTAGCAAAGAAGTTCCTTCTCTGGTATGTGATACGCGTCAACGAGACCCGTGTCGAATAGAATCCGGTAAAACATCTGGAAAGAAGGAGGACACATCATGAACAGAATTCATCCGTTGGAAAACGACCTATACCGAAATTTTCCAGCCAGCGTACGGAATCAGGGGATCGAGCGGATCGATCCAATGCTGCGAATCGAGTGAAATGCAAATTCATCTCAAACGGTCAAATCGAATCGGAGGACAACCTCCGCAGAGTCTGTCAGTCTCCTTCCGAGAAAGTAGGCACGACAGGAATTTCTTATTCTCATCAAGCGCTGAGTCCTGCCGAGTTCGCTGAAGGTCACGAAGCTGAAGGTGGCGAGAGCACTTGTAGGTTCATCAACCGCTCGACTCGGAGGTCCGCACGCCCGGCTCCCGAAGTTCAGTCGGGTTCAGGTACGCGTTGCCAAGTATCCGCATTAGAATTAATTGATGTTTCGCTTGCTCGTGGCTTGCTCGCTCAAAACCCACCGATCGAACTTTCGGGTCGAGAGCCGTCCGGAGGCGGGCTTTGTCGTCGGATCACTCATTCGGCTGACGGATCAGCCGAGGGATCAGCTCTATACCTTTAGCATCGTTCGGCGAACTTGGGAAAATAGAGCAGTTCGCTACAGCCCACTCCGAGCTAAGCGGAGGGACAGAACGATGGGATCGTAACCCGCCATGATGGATGACGTTGCTTTGGCTCGCAATGGAGGGCCGGGGGCCTGGCCGCAGGCGACCTCTGCTACCACTAATACCGAATCTACCGGCAGCGACGATAAGGGCCGCTTTTGTGCCTTTCAACGCAAGGGAGCATTTCACACGAAACGTCGACGGAAGTCAATCTAGTCACAAGCTCGAGGAATTCCAGCGTTTTTGTGGTGCAGAAGTCGAGAATCTCGACCGAAGGTTTAGTCGAGACTTGTTTTCATATGAATGATTCAGGCTCGGGCCAGGGAACTCGGAGCAACAATTTCCGCCCGGGAGACTGCGGCAGGAGGAGGGGAGGGGGCAGCAGAGAGAATCGTTCACGGACAAGATGCTCGCCCGAGTGGCTCGTTGAGAGCGGAGCGGCGGCCTGTCGTCCCGTCTCATCCTACCACGTCCGAGAGCCTCTGGCCGAGCCAGTCTACCTAACCAAGCGGAGCAGACTCGATGAAGCCTCCTCCGGTTACCCTCGGCGAAACAGTCGAGCCGCCAGAGCATGTCCGATCGCGTTTTTTCCCCCTCGACTCGTCTGGCTTCCGAACACAATCACATGTGACCTTGCGAGAGCGCTTGCGCAAGTCTCACTTTTGTTATTTTAGCTGAAGGCGAATCGGGTCCGCAAGGGAAAAGGTTGCTGCGACTCGGCGCGCTCGACTAGTAAGCTCCGCTCGACCACGGTCTCCGGGCGCTTGCCCTGTCGCACGCCGACAGTAAATGAGGAGATTTGCGGCCGCCGATTCCGTCGCCCTGCCGCTCGCACATGCTCGAAACGTCGGCGAAATATCCGCGAGCAAAGGCCGCGCCGTCGCTGCAAACGGACATATTTGTCCTCTTTCAATCGAGCTCACCGTGCTGAGCAGCGTGTTCGGGGATTGATCCGTCAGCTGGAAGATGTCGAAGTCCCAATCGCAGAGCGTTCCGAGATGCGCGTCTTTTACTATTTCTGTCGTGTCGAGTTTAATCCCGTTCACTTCGTAGGTTCCGGGAGACAGCGTCTTTGCGTCGAAGTTGCGCGTGTCGTTCTCCTTGGCGACTACTGGGTCGCTTGTTTTCCTTGTGTTACTATTCCGCCGTCCGCAATACCTGGAATAGACCCGCTGTGCTGACCTAGGCGTGACGGCGGTATGTATTTCGGTATACATACATAGAGAGAGTTATTTTTCCGCCGTTCCACGCTCCGATATGTGATTCCACCGACCGCGGGTTCGATCATGAAATCCGATGCTCACTTGCAGATGAAGTCGATGTGCGCCGCGCCGACGTCGGAGCTCTCAGACAGGAGTCGCTCATTCGTTCTGATCAAGTCGTCCGGCACCGGGGTTGTTGACAGAGGATCATCTGGCCGACTGGAAATTGATCCACTGTGAGGCATTATTTGAAAGGAAGACGGAAATTAAAAGGTTTCTTCCTCCATTCTCCTCGACGACGACAACGACGACTACAACAACAACAACGATCACGATAAGAGGCACGACAGTCTCGTCATCTTCTTCGAGAAGAGAAGGAGAAAGCTAACGCGGGCCGAAGGAGGGGGGCGGGCAGGCAAAAAAACTGATCGCAGACAGCGAAAGTTGTGCAAACATTGCATTGACGAAAAAGCGAGTCTTACCGAGCACCGGTACTCCGTTTTCGAGAGGGCTCAGGTTCGAGTGTCGGCATGCCTGTCGCCGAAGTCGTAGTTGACCAAGTCGAAGTCGACATCCGTCGCAAAAGCGACCGAGGCAGCTGTCGGCGTGTCTGGAAATTCAACAGATATTTATTGCTCCGGTATGAGCAGTTGTCGTGAAAGGAAATAGCGTTTCGTAGGGGACAGGTCCACGCCTCGGATCGCTTCCAATAAGCGAAACGTTTCTCGAGAGGCAAGGAGCGGTATTTTTATTTAGGATTTCCCGGATGTTCCTGGATTTGAGAATGAATTATCGTATTCTGACTATGATGTGGCTTCCCCCCCCCACGAGGGAGGCATGTCCCAGAGGTTGAGGTATCGAAGATGTAGACGCTTGCTTCTGAGCACCGTGGAATTCCTGAGCCGGGAAATCCTCGCTCCAGCTTTGGAGTTTCATCCGAACGAGAATTCCCGCCTCTCCGAGGAGCCTGCCAAGCTTTTTGAGGTAGGCCCCGGGATGTACCGCCTCAAACCGCTGCTACCACGGCGTTGGACAGCCGAGCGGTCAGAGCAGTCGGAACATCGGGGGACGATTCACGAAGACCACATCTACGCTGTCTCGAGCGAAACCGCCGGCATCGATCGAACGAGCTGCAGATGTGACATGTTGTCAACCTTTTCGAGCGTCGCGAGAACGTTCGAAAGCCCCCGAATAGCTGCCGAGCTTGTGTACTCGGTGTTCATTCGTTCTCGTCTGGTGGGGGATGCTCGGCGGACGCTCTCCACCATATATCCTTTTCAGCCTCCACCTCGCGAAGCAAACAGATCCAATCTGGCCGGGAGGGAATCCCGTTCTCGCTTGTTAATATTTCATCGAGTTCTCTATTCCACCAACAGCTGTGGGTTCGGAAAGAACGCTGGAGGCTCCGCTGACCGTGGTAGCAGCAACTACTATTGAAACCTCGCTCGCTTCCAAAGAGCGAGAAGCGAAAACCCCCGAGCTCCGCCGAGTCTTTCAACGGATATTTTTTTCCTCCGTGCCAGCCGTTGTCGCCAATGCCCACCTACAGCAAGCGGGGGCTCTATAGCGATGCTCAATAGTTTGCACAAGCCGCTTCTGGGCCGGGGGCTCAAACGAATCGCGGAGCCACCGCCAGAGAGATGTCTTTCAGCGCTGGGAACGGCGGGGAATCCCCGCAAATCAATTGAAGAATCAAAGCTGAATTGGTCTGCGAGGATATGAAAGTTGACTGATGAGCTGATTACCAACTCACCTTTGACATGTCTGAGGGCTTCTCGCCGGTGAATGGGTTTTCCTCGCAGTCGTCGATGTCGCTAGGCTCACTGAGCGGGGCCAGTTCGACTTTTTGACCGACAGCGACCTTGGCGGGCTTGTTTTGTTGGGAGGGACACAAGAGGATTTGGAGGGCCTTGAGTCCGGACGCAATATTCGGCGGAATCCCATGATCCATGAGCATGTCGGCGATGAGTCCATTCGCCTCGGCGAGGATCGTGTGGTCCAGAGAGCCCACGCCCCCGCCCTGGAAAAAATCATCTGTTAATTGATCTTGCATCCAATAAAACCTGATGGTTTCGTGCGGAAACGCCCATCACTCGATGTCTTCGTTGTTTCGCCATAAAAAAATCGGGGTCTTCAACAAGGAGATGGATGGTGAGATAACGTGAACGCTCATTTCTGACGAGCCTGAGCTGCTTTCCTTGATTCCTGGAATACTATGGGCGCGAGGCATTTCAAAAAATTCACTCGATATATTCCGTTCTCTCCAGGACGGCTCATCCCACTTCCGTTTCGTCTGACTACGGAGGTTGACGCTATGTTTGGTCGTTCCACTCTTCGCCTAATATCCGTGGAAAAGCGCTCCCCGGTATCCATTTTAGTTTTTGCCGATTCGGGCCGGAACGGAGCGCAGCATAAATTCCCCTTGAGCTCGTCCCTGAGCTCGCCAGACGGCCAGGCGGCAGAATGAATGGACGAGAATTAGGAATGTGAGGTGGCTAGCTAGCCAGCTGGAGGAGACACGGCTGCTTCCACGGGGTAGATGAAATGCCGTGTCTTCACCGTCATCGCCCAGGACGAGGGAAGTACGAGATTCGTCCGATTGGACCCTAGGTAGCTGATTTCTGAAGGGTCCTCTAATTGAAGTGCGTTCCGCGACATCGAGGGCGACGTCGACGAGAGCTGATTTGACCGATGACGATTGGGGCAGGTTGCGACTCGCTGGCATTCCGACTAGATAAGACACGAAACTTGTGATTGGGATTCTGGCTCCTGCCGATTTCCTGGGCTCGGCGGATGGGGAGCTCCGAGAGCATTGACGCCCATGCGCGGAAGCCGTATGTTTGCGTAAGACGGATATGTCAATGAGGGATACCCATGCGAAACACAAGTGTATTGATGCAAAGCCTCTCCGCGTACATCGGATTTCGGCCTCGGTTGTATGTCCGCGTCGTCGCGTGGCGAGTCTCTAAGTCGGTCGGTCGGTATTCCCGATCTCCCTCCTGCAATCCAGTCAATGCAGCCGGAAGGATGCGAGCGAGAGAGGAATACTCCGCAGCAGAGGCTAAAGAGCACTGAATCGGAGATTGAATCCGAATCGTGTTCTGGGACTATGAAAAGATACGCTCTCTACGCCGCCGGCCAAATTCCGACCATGAATGCTCGGAGGGCTCTCGGAACGGAAGCTGAACATTTCTAAGGGAAATAAGTTTCGTCTTTTTAACCAATAGAATCAGCGCGGTCCGATGCTGCTCGAAGGAGACGAATCTCTCAGACGTCGCTCCGCCGCCGCAGCCAAGACTCGCTGCAGCGTCGCAGCCGTGATTGTAAAACCCAAAAACGTAATTCCTCCATTTCCGAAGAAGGATTCCAGATCGAAACTCGGAATACGCAATCGGAGAGGGAGTGTGCCTTGGCGGATTCCGCCCTCCGAGCCGGGTCCCGAGCTCCGCCACGAGGACGACGCGCCGATCAATCGCAGAGTTCTGTCCCAGGTGAGCGGCATGTGAAAGGAAATAATCTGTCAGATGAAGCAACTCGACGGCACCCGCACTGTCAAAATTCACCCGATGGGACCCGAAGGTAGAGACTCGCTCCTCCACAAGGGCCGCCAACCTCTCGGAACCTTCTGTGCCGATGCCCTTGAGACCGTGTACGGCGCAAAACGTGAAATGCTCAGCCCCTCCCAATCTTAGGAGTCCTATTGACCGGAGAGGCCTGCGAGTCCTCCATGGAGAATAAGGATGAATGCCCCCTCGTACTTGAGCCGAAATCCGGATTTTCTCGGACACGTTGAGACTTTGAAGGGATCTAAGGCGATTTCTTCCTAGCTTATCAGAACCGTGACGGGGGCGGGGTACGAAAACGGCAATCTGACGTGAAGTTTGAGCTCATTTTCTCTCGGTTCGAGCTTGTAGAGCATAAAGTCGATGCTCGGCAGCTCCTTCTGCGGAAAAGAAACTTTCTCGAAATCGATTATCAAAGCGAATTCGACCCAGATGTCGTGGATTCAGGATAGCGAGAGTGGAACAGGTTCGGGATTATCGAAGCGCGAGAGTTTTCCTTTCGCACGCCGTTATTCCTCCTTACGGAATCCTCTTCATGGAAATTCCCATGAGATTGCCCCTTTCAATGTGCCGGCACCCCGAAGTCGGCGCGTCTATTTTGCGGGCCGCGACCGATTCGACTGGGTCGTGTTCCATGGCCAGATACCCGAAGCATATCTTGACATATCTATCCGTGTCTCCTTGTGTCAACCGAGCCACGGTCTCGGCTAATCAATCTTGAAGCGTCACCTATGTTGCGCATTTTCGAAACTCTCTTTGAAAACTTGGCCGCGGGTCCTCAAAACAGAGCGGCCTTGAGACGACTCATTCTCGCGAATATTTCCGAACACAGGGACAGAAGCACCCGAGTCGAACTTTAGAGGGTCGACGATGAGCGAGAAGCTTCCCTCGGCCGACGATATCGAAGACTTAGCACCTGAGGGCAAGCATGCTCCTATGCAGAAGTCGCCGAACTTGATAACTTGAAACAGACGTCGTCGAGGATGTCACGGAGGAGAATCTCAATTTGAGTAGCTGCGAGCCTCGCCCAGGGAACGGCCCTATAGCGGAGGGAAACACTTCCCGTGAACTTCAGAGCCCTGCGCCTCGTCATCGACAGGTGAATGGAAGAGACGGCCTCAATGGGCTCGATGCTCGAGTTTGCAAGCTCCGCAAAATATTGGAATCTCCGTTGGAACACGTTTCCGAGAGACGACATTCTAAAACATTTTGTCCCGTGGTAGCCCTGAATAGATCGCCCACTCTCTCACTCCCCTCGCCCCTTCCCAGCCTTCCCCACACCCCGAGGCAATTCTGAATAGGACCCGGATGACCGAGTCTTCCCGCATGAATTTTCGAGCTCGCAGAACTCGAGTCGCCACTCGATCGCGACGTAGGAGAACTTCTAGAGGAGATGTTTTCATGCGACGGTTGACGATCAAAATAGCGGATCTCTCGTCTCGATCATAATCAAGGCTGGCCAGCGAGGTTGAAACCTCCGTCTCACACGTCTGTTCCTATTCTCAATCCTCTGCTGCGCTTGTCCGTCTAGTCGTTTGTCTGTGTCGCTCAGTGCCAATATCCGTAAAGCAATATGTCCCAAACACGTGCTCATGGCAAACACGGCAGGCATTATGCAAAGGGCAGCTTGAGGAGTGCACGAAAGAAAAATAGCGTTTCTGGCAGCGGAACATTTGCAGAGCTCAATTCCCGGCGAACGGCATCTGCCTGACCGATGCTCTTACGCAATCGCTCACCGCTCGTATGGTATTCTCGTCAACAGCCGGGGCATATGCTTCAGGTTTTTGCCCGCTTCTCCCGCTGACACAGAGAACGATGAAAGTCTGTTTGGCGGATGACCGATGGACGGATCCGCGAACATCTTTCTTGTTGAGGCAAACTACTCCGAACCGCGAGGAATACCAGAAGTCGAAATCGAATCGACGAGATCCGTCTCCGACGCGTCGGAAAAAAATGCCGCACTCGGTGTACCATACTTCATTGCTCTCTTAATGAATCGCATTCCTCTTCTCGACGTTATATCGGGCTCAAGTAAAAATGTTGAGCCCGCGACGTTCACCCAGTTAAATCTGCGTGGCGTCGGAGATGTCACGCCTCTTCCTTCGAGAACATTAGGCAAGGGCTGAATCTTCAAAAACGGGGGGAATCACCCCTTCGGACGGGCGACCGCGCTCGACCCAAGTTCCCTGCAAACGTGAAGTAAAGTGGGAACGATCAGAAAACGGATCGCCGCGCCGCCGAGTGAAATGGCGCAGAAGGCCAAAAACGATTCGTCGGAGACGGAACGAGGCTTCGGGCCAAGTTGGGCAGAGAGTCGCTAAGCGCAATCTGTTGACGGTGAAGAAGGGAAGAAAAAAATAGAAGATTTGTCAGAGCGTGCCGGACTGGCCGAGCGATGCGGAGGGCTGCGGGCGCCGCCGCCGCCGTTACCGCCGACACCATCGCGACCTCAGTTCCCACTGAGCAGCAGCGGAGGCGCCTTACCCGCTACACCAGCAAGTGAGCTCTTTCGAAAGCACGGCGCGAGCCCATTTTTCAAGAGACGAGTCGAGGGAGTCATCATCCAAAAAATGAAGCGACTCTCCGCGGAGAAGAAACGTCCATGTTGATTCAAGAAAGCATCCTTCGAACTTTCCCTTCTCCGGCTCTTGACGAGCTCAGGCGGCCGACTCGAGCGGCTTGCTTCGGCCGGACTCGAGATCGTTGCGATGACGACCATGATCATTTTCCCCGCTACTGTTTCTCGTTTTCCGGCTTCGTTGGTGAACGGAGAGCTCTGACCACTTCCCGCGGACTCACTGAGCTCACGAGGGAGGAATGAGAGAACGGGGAGACTACGATGATTATGGCGGTGGCGGCGGCGGCTCAAAGTCGTCATACTCATTTTGAAACCAAAGCCCGGCGCTCGGCGACAACGGTGACGACCTGTTTATTCTTCTCCTCAGGTTGGTATGTCTGTGGTCTCTCGAACGAGTGACCGAACGCGTGCGCTAGCGAGTGAACCAGCTCAGCTGGCCAGCCGCCGCTCTCGCTCGATGGCATGCTTGTAGTATGTAGGGCTGCTGTTTAACAGACCAGCAGCGGCTGCCATCGATGCCGAAGCAGCGGTGTCGGCTTGGAGGCCAAAGCCATTCCAACGATCGTTTGTGGCGAAGCGTCGTCGCTCAGTAGCTCGTTCCTGCTCTTGATCACCATTGACCGTCGTCGACGTCTCCTCCTTACTACACTTCCATTCTATCTAGCCATTCCTTCCGGTTCCTCTCGTTCTCGAGGTTCTCGGAGGACATGAGCGAAGTATTCAGAAATTGGAACCATTAATCGCTCTTTGGCCGAGCCATGAAGCGCCGGCGCCCGCCAGCTTCCTGTAAATCGTAGTGCTCGCGGAGTGTAACGGCTGGAGGATACGAGCCGTTTAACGCGTGAACACGGCACGCAGAGTCACGGCGGCAGCGTAAAC